AGGTCTGCAGCCTCCCCACGAAGGCCTCATGCCAGGGTCTTCACGTCTCTTGCTGCCACACTGGCCATGGCCCTGGGGGTGGGCCCTCTTTACCCACAGCTTCTTCTCTCTACCGCTCCCTGAGTCTGTGACTTGTGATTCTCTGCACTCAGCTGTCTCTGAGCTTCACACTTCCATGGTTTCGATTCTCCTGGTATTTATTCATCCCTATCTCCATCTAGACACCCTCTCCTCTGCCTCCCTATGTGTTTCACATAGCTGTCCTTGGAAATTAAGCTCAGCCTTCATGTTAGCACCAAGTGTAATCCAGCCAGGAGGTGTGTGTGTTCTTCCAGGTTTATTCACCCATTTGATGGAAGGTCAGGGAAACAGGTCAAAGTGGTGGACTGTTTCTGCCCTCGGTGTGTCTGGCCTTTGGCCTTCGGTTGTGTCACAGTGCAGATCCCTTTTGACACCGAACTTGGCACATCCAAAGCAGGGTTAGAAAATATGGAGCTGTGAGATAGCTAGAAATTTCCAAGTGAGAAGGAAAGTGGCACAGACCCTAGACTGAAGGAGACCCTCTGCTACCTTCTACTGGTCTGAGTGGGCCTTGTGCGTGGTGGGATGTGGGTATAATGCTGACATGCACAAGTGCTTCCTTTAGCTGCTGCTGCAAACCCCGCCTGTAGGGCTTGAAGCCCACTTGCTGAGGCATGCCAGGCTGACTTGCAGAAGTGTTTGGCGGGGGGTCATTTTCTAGAAAGACCTTTGCTGTAATGGGGAGAAGTTCTAAAGGAACCCAAGGGCCCTACTTCTGCTCTGTAGGCTTTGGCTCTGCTCCCTGCCCCTTCGTCCCAGCCCTGCTCACAGGACTGCAGGTCCTTGTCAGGGCAGTGGAGCTCCTTTTCTGATCCAGTTCCTTCCCCTCAGAGGATGGCTGACTAAGAGACTAGAGACTAGGTCTTGATCCTAGAATTGGGAACTGGGAAACTCTGCTTAGCTGGTGTTGTTATCATTTTACTTTCTTTTGAAATTTAACACCCCACCCCCATGTTCTTTTTTTCTGCTGGGAGACCAAGGGGACATGTTAGGCAGTGACCAGTGGCACCAAAATTGGTCGTTAGACTAAGTTCGTGGGTCTTTCCAGGACCTCATACGACCTTCCTACTGTGGCTTGTGGGAAGACCCCAGGTGAAAGCTAAGGCTGCCTCAGGCCACAGGGACACAGACTTCCCTTTTCCTCCTTCACCCTGTACTCTGATGGATTCTCTAGCTTCCTTTGTGTGAGTACAGGGCACGGTCCAATCTGCCCACCCTTGCTCATGTGAAGACACAGGGACCCAGACATCGCCCAGCCACTGTTGGCTGTGGCCGTAGACCAGGAAGAGAGGCTGAGGGCTTTCTACTCCCATTCCCAGTACCTTGACCTGTTTCCCTGACCCCTCCATCAAATGGGTGGCTAAACCTGGAAGAACACACACACACACACACACACACACACACACACACACTCACACACTCACGCACTGCTCCTGGCTAGATTACACTTAGTTCTGTCTCTGGGTGGGCAGAAAGCATGATGGGTCTGAGGCCTACAGGCTGGGTTTTGTGACCCCTGCTGCCTGCTGATCTCAGTTTACTCTTACTGTCCATGGCAGCCCCTCTGGCCTCCTTTTCTGCCCTACACAAGTACACAGAGAGAAGCGCTTTGATAGGAGCCAAGAGAGCAAGTTCAGAGGCCCTGGTAAGGACTGACCTCCTTCAGCTGGCAGCTGTGTTCACTCTTGGGTGAACACTCCCCTTCCTTGGGTCTCAGTCTGTTCTTGTCAAAGGAGGGGCTGGACAACTCCGATATTCTTGGACAGAACCAAGAAGTTCCTTAACAGTTCTTTCGCCTCCGATGCTGAACGCCTGGGGGGCCAGAGTCCCCATCTGCTCCACCCATTTCCTATCAGATCTTGACCTTGACTGGGACACACCCTGCCAGGGAGGCACCCTCAGCTTGGTTCATACTGTTCCCAAGATACCCCTCCTATCCAGAGGGTGCAGGGATGATGACAGACCCAGGCTTCCCCACGCCCAGGTGGCCCCATGCACTTACTTCTCATGACTGAGCCTTGGCTTTGCCAGCCTTGGCTTCCCTTCCTCAGCAGGGGTGGTCCTCGGATGGGCACAGCCGGCAGCAAAGATAGGGGCCAGGCCCTCTCAGCAGCACCTCAGCCTGCAGCTCTGCACCTAGCTCTCCCCCAGTGCTTCTGGGCAGGGGGGGTCTAAGCTCTGCACCACACAGGTGGCCAAGTGACAACCCCCCCTTCTACCCCTCTCAGGGGTGCAGCTGGTAGGATGACAGGCATCCCATATAACCAATCTGGACCCGAGGCAGGGTGTGAGGGGTGGGGCAACCAATCGTAGGGGGCGTTGGAAAATTCCAAAACCACATGCGACAGCCACGCTCGGTCAAAGCTGTTTCCACTTGCCAAGGGTAGTTCTTGCCCAAGTGGAGCTTGCAAGAGCCTGGGGCCAGGCCCCTCTTCCCCCTTCCCTGAGGACCTCAAGCCTAACTCTCTCTGCCAGGTGACTCCAGGGACAGGGATGTTTCTGAGGTAAGTCAGAGGATGTCTGCTTGGGGTGGTGGTAACACATGCCACCTGAGATCTCATAGACTGCCAGCAGTCATGTCCAGTGCCAGTGCTCCGGGAAGCTGTTTATCACACAAACACATGCGTGCGCATACACACACACACACACACACACACACACACACACAGACACACACTCCTCCCTACACACATGAGGTATACCTTGGCTTAGGGAAGGAAACCTGAAAATAATAGCAGCTGTAATGATCATTCAGGCAAATACCCAGAATCTGTAGTATCCATCATAAACCTCCTTAGGAGAAAAACTTCTAAAATTGGAATGCAGATAATGATAATCCTCCTATTGTCATCATGCTCAGTGTCATAATAGTGCCTAATATGTGCCAGAAGTGGTTCTACATAGTTTACATGGACCATCTAATCCTTGCAAAATAATTCAGGAGGTAGATACCATTGTGTCCATTTCAAAGACAAGGAAAGTGAGACCCAGATTGGTTAAGAAACTTGCTCAAAGTCACACAGCTAGTAAATGGTAGAGTCAAGTTTTAAGGCCAGGCACCTTGGCCCTGGATCCCACCTCAGGGACAGGAAGTTTTCTCTGGTTCAAGTCTGCTTTTGAAGGTGTCAGCCTGGGAAGTCTGGGGCTGTAAAAGGTGCTCTGTAGATTTTCTTGGAATGGAAGTTGCTGCTGATGGGTCATTCAGAGACCCTGTCAGTCTTTTATGTGCTCTATAGGGTACTTCAGCCTTGGGGCTCTCTCTTTAGGGTCCCTCAGTAATCAGGCCCCCTCTTGTCTGGGCATCTTTGTGAGTTCCTCATTTTGGACTTCCTTCTTGGGACTTTTGGCCTGGGGAAGCTTAGTATCTCAATTATCTGACCAAACTTCCTAAGAGGTCTCTGATCTTGCTGGAAGTCTAGCAGCTCTTCAGTTAGCTGCTGGCTTTTCTCACTGGCCTGGATCCTCATAATGACACTGGATGGGGGCTGCAGAGGTGGTTCCAAGGACGGGTGAGAGGGAGGGTTGTGACGGGGCTAGGAGCTCTAGCTGAAGTTTCAGTGGTAAGGGATCGAGGGCCGGAATGGGGCTGGGCACTTCCAGTTCCCACTGCTCCAAAACTCTCCCCTTTCCACCCTCCCACACATGGTCCTTGACCCCCTCTTTCAGCAGACTCACGTCAGTGTGACCCGTTTTCCCCCAGGGGCCCTGCTCAGCATTTCCGTGGGGCGCTGTGGCTAGTGGCGGGCAGGCAAGGCATAATCAGGATTGTGCTGAGCAAAGCACCCTCTACCTAGGGGAACGTCACATCCTAGGTGGTCCCCAGCCTCCATCTGCCCAGCTTAGGGACGAGGTTGGGGCCTGGCCCTGGAAATGGCTTTGCCTGGTACAGGAAGTCCTGCAATGATTTTGGCAGTGGGAGCTCAGGAGTAGCTGGTAGGTAATCAGGAGCACCTTAGAGAAAGAGAGGGGGCCTCTCCTACCCTAGAAAGTGTCATCAGTTCCAGGTGGCCACAGGAGCCTTTTGAATGTACTCTCAGGTTGCTGAAAACCTGCTTGGCCCTGCTGGGTATGGGTTTTGGGCGCTGAGGTGGGGAGGGTGTGTGTTGGTGGGAAGGCTCTCCCACAAGGAGAGTAGAGCTGATGTGCTGAGAGGCCCCTAGAGAGAAGGCATAATCACTGATGCCCCTGGGGAGTCCTTCCTGATACCCAGCCTCCTTTTTGCATGCTGTGGTCTAGGCTTCCTGGGCCCCTGGTTCCCTGCGGATTCAGTCTTCTGCAGAGACAAATCCTTTCCTGATGTCCCATCCTGTACAGCCTGACTCCAGGCCTAATCATACCTCATGATGTGTTAACCACAGAGATGAACACCAAACCTTCCTCTGTCGCCACACAACCTGGGCAGCCTGGGGCCTCCCAGGCCTGCAGGGCTGAGTTCCTGAGGCTGCCCTGCCTCCCACCTCTCCTGTCTCTTAGTGACAGAGAAGTGCGGCCTGCCCTGCTTGGTTTTTTGTAATGCTCCCTTATGATCTCTAGTCTTTTTTTGGGGGCGGGGGAGGCGTGTGGTTTGAGGCAGGGTCTCACTGTGCAGTTCAGGCTGGCCTTTGGCTCACTTTGTAGTCCAGGCTGGTCTTGAATTTGCAAACGATTCTCCTACCTCAGCCTCCCAAGTGCTGGGATTACAGGAGTGCATCACCACGCCTGGCTTTCCTCTAGGCTTCTTTATCCCCTCCCTTTGCCCCTGCCGGTGGGTTCCTCACCCTTCCTTTCTTTTCCTCAGCCTCTCTGCAGGCTGTCTTCATCCCCGTTATCTATATCCAGCTCCTGCTTTTCTTCCTTTGGAACCTTGTTGAGCGAGCCCTTGCTGGTTCCTTGCCATACCTCACACCCTGTACACTTCTTGCCCACCATTTCCTACTCACAGATGTGGGTCTTCTTTGCAGTCAGCAGCTCTGTAAAGAAAAGAAGGGGTATTAGGGGCCAAAAGTTGAAGACCTAAGGGGCCAAGACACTCACCCTATTCACAGGACCCCATCTCACCCTTCTCCTTCCCAGCAGAGCCTGGCATCTGAGGAGAAGCTGAGCCGCCCTCTACGGTGCCCTCTCTACTCTGATCTTCAGCCACCTTGGCCCTCATCCAAGTCCTCAGAGTCCCTGGCTTCTCACTGCCTGCAGGACTTCCCCACATTGCTCCTTTTGCTTCCAGTGCCCTTCCTTCCCGCACACCTGATCCAGCCTCAGCTTTTCTCCAGCTTCCAGACCTTTGATTATGTCTCTTCTTTGGAGAAACCACCCATGCTCACTCCCTGCCCTGGTGTTCACATCCTCAGCACCTTCTGCTGAATTTCCTGGTCCTTACCACATGACCTAAGTGCCATAACTGCACCATCATCTACGAAATAGATCTAGGGCCGAGGATTTAGCTCAGCGGCATGAGTGCCTGCTTGGCAAGCACTAGATCATAAGTTCAATTCCCAGGACCAAAAAAAAAAAAAAAAAAAGAAATAGTAAAATATAAGTAATTAGTAAACATTAGGAGCTGGAGATTTAACTCAGCAGCATAAGCGCGTGGTCGTGAGTTCGATCCTGATACCAATAAAAAAAAAAAAAAAAAAGAAAGAAAGAAAGAAAGAAATGGATCTTCCCTACTAGAAGGTAAGCACTTGGGAAGCAGGGATTGTGCCTGTCAGGGTCACCTTGCTGTTCCCAGGACCCTCCTTGGGCACATTAGAGGTGCATCAGAAACGTTCTGCTCCAGAGATAAATCTCTAAGGGGAATGAAATCACTTGGCGTCATATCTGCCCAAATGAAAGCCCGCATTTCTGGACCTATAGGGAGGAAAGTGTCAGGAGCACCAGGGATGTGGCACTGGCAGAGTGCAGAGGGGATATTTGGAGGGCAAGCAGGCGACAGCTGTAAATGAAGATCCCTTTTTGACTTCCACTGACCCAGGTTCCTCGGCCCTCCAGCCTGCAGGGGAGAATCCTGTCTCTGCTGCTGCTGCTGCTGCTGCTGCTGCCGCCCTGCTGGTGGCTGGGTCTGGGTGGAGACCAGGCACGAGGGAGCGCAGGTGGGTTGATGGGGGTTAGCCAGGACGCTGGGGCCTCTGAAGGAGCAGCTGCGGGGAAGGCCTCAGCTAGCGTATGGTTGAGGAGAGGCAGTTCCTTCTCATATTCACCTACTTCTGAAAGGCCTCACAAGGGATCCTCTGGGACGAGCCATCCTCTGCCACCCTTCTGTATATTTCTGGCACCCACAGAGCAGTCCTCACGGAGCACAAGTCCAGTCTTTTGTCCCAGAAAGACCTTGGACCCTGCTTGTAACTTCCCTAAGCTCTGGCTTGGTTCTTTTGTTACTTTTTGCCTCCGGCCTGGCTCCCACCCATTCCCAGCACTGTTCTGTCCTCTATGTTCGTAGTCACTCTGCCCAGGGGATGTTCCCACAGCCGGCCTTCACCTCTGGGCTACCATGGTGGCCACCAGCCTGGTGGCCTGGACTTGTGGTGCGGGGGGAAGGTCTGCCCAGAGGGTGTGGCTCCCCCACCCCCTTATCCTAGTCCCACTCCGCTTCCTCCCTGACATGGCACCCCTCTCCAGCCTCCAGCCTGGCACCTCAAAGCAGTCCTGCTGGGGATGCTTCCCTCCTCCCCAGGTAGCTGTGGCACTGCATCGCATTAGCACTCACACTCTGTCTGGGTGCTCGAAGCTGACCAAGCATGTGGCTGGGGACCCAGCTCTGAGGGGTTGCTGTGTAGTCCATTGACAGGGCCAAAGGCAGCTTGACTCTGTCCCTCACTACTCTTGGCCCGGTGCCCTACGTTCTCTGCCGAAATGAAAGCCCAGTGTTCTGGGCCTGTGGGAAGGAAAGTGTGAGGCTCGTGGGCATGGGCAGCTGACAGGGTGTGGTTGTTCCCCCACCCCGGTCCTGAGAAGCAGGCCGGGTTCCTCCCCTGGGGAATGAACAGAGGGTAGCATGGCCAAGCTCCCAGACTGGGACCTGAGCTGCTAGGGCCACTCACAGCGGAGAGGGCCAGTCCCATCCTGAGCCCTCCTCCATCAAGCTTCCCTCACCTGCTCTCTGCTGCCTGCTCCCAGCCTTCTTCAGCCTCCCCTTTCTTTTCCCTTGACAAGTTCCTGTTACTCCCCTTTTCCTGTTTCTTCCTCTTCTTGCTTCTCTGGCCCCTCCTCCTGCTTTTCCTTCCTGTTCCATCAAGTCTCATCTTGGCCATTTCCATGCCCACTCACCCCCCTCCCTCATTTCTCACCCATCCCGGCCTATCTGTCCCGTCCTCTGAGCCTCCTGGCTGTCCCTTCCACCTGTCTTCAGGGCCATGGGCCTCTTACCCCTCGAAGTTCGGTGGTGTCTTTGTGGGGTCCTGTCCATGGGGCAGCTCCCTTGGTGCCGTCCTTGCTGCCCTGGCTGCACAGGAGGGCAGGGAGCAGGGCCCAGGGGAAGAGGGCGGGAGGAGGGAGGAGGGAGGGAGCACCTGGCCCGTCAGCAGGCAGGGGAAAGGAGTGGCTGGCAGAGCGTTCTGGCACCCAGAGGGGAGGTGGGGAGAGACCAGCGGGCCAGAGTTTGTAGAAACAGGATCAATGCGAGCAGGAGAACTAGCATTAATTAGTCACCTACTATGTGTGAGGGGTTTTGCCAGGCCCTGTATGTGAATCATGATTTTGCTTTGTGTAAACCATCTTAGGAAGCACAATTATTGCAGGTTTACTGATGAATCAAGTTCTACTCCAAGATGTTTATGACTTACTTGCCCAAGGACTTATATAAGGATATAAGCAGATGAGCTATGCTCTGAACCCAGGTTTTTGTGATTTCAGTATCCAATGGTTTCTACCAGATTAAGGCAGGTGACAGAATAGAGGAGATGAGAGCCAAGAACAAGGAGAAGACACGTTTAGGGCATTCTGGCTTGTATCCAGGATGATCAAGTTGATGACAGGGGTTTTTCGTTCCATGAGGATCCTGCCTTCTTAGCCCTTGCTGCTGCTGTCCTTCCTAGAACTCCTGGGCTGCCTGATGTGTTGGGGCCAGAGGCAGGCTTGGAGGAGTGTGAGGAGGCAGAGGAGAAGTGGAGAGGAGTAGAGAGGGACATGACATATTATACTAGTTGGGAAAAGAGGTCCCAAGCTGAACCTCCCACCCAATCACCTGCCCTGCAGTCTGGGAAGGCTGAGGGACCAGGCTCCTGTGGACTGCAGAGGACACAGCTCCATGGCTGGCCTTGGGCCAGCATTTGATTAGCTGGGCCTGGCTCTCCTGGTTACCCAACAGGCAGCTGGCCAGGGTCCAGGCTGCAGCAGGAGGCTCCCTGGCACCTCTGCCCGCTCTTCCTCCCAGCTGGTAAACAGCAGAGCAGGAGCCAACCACGACACTGCCTCGTGACTCGCCCACTCCCCCCCAAACCTGGTGCACGTGGCAGCTGGCATGGAGTGGGCAGGCCTCTCATCTCACTGTCCCGGGACTGCACATTTGCTGCCATGGACATCTCTGTGCCCAAGTAGCTCCCAGTTTCCTAGTGGCTGTGCTCTGAGGGACAACAGTTAGAGGAGAAAACAGACTTTCTGACTCCTTGAGTGATTGGCAAGGGCAGGAGAGTGAGGAAGAGGGAGGGGAGTTTTTGAGGACCTCCTTGTAGGACAGTTGGAGGCTCTGAGGCTCTGGTTATCCTGTGCTTCCTGGTAAACAGGCAGGTGGGTGTGGAACACTTCTGCATCGCTCTGCATTGAACACCAGGTAGCTCACACTGTCCTCAAACTCAGCAGTCCTCCTGTCTCAGCCTCCAGGATGTTGGGATTATATGCATGCCCACTACTCTGCTATTGGCTTGGGTTCTTTCTCCTCCAGGCAGAAGGTAGCTTGGTTATTCTTTGGGGAAGTTCCCTCTGTTGCTGACCCTTCTCTCTCTGGCCAGCAATCACAGCCTCTTTTCTGGAGGAATCAGTCTTTTCAAAGCAGGGCAGTGGTTATTTCCTCCTCTAATCCTTTTTTTTTTTTTTTTTTTGTCTTTTTCCTTTTTTATTGGTACCGGGGATCGAATCCACGACTGCATGCTTGCAAGGCAGGCGCTTATGCCGCTGAGCTAAATCCCCAGCCCCCTCTAATACATTCTTATGCAAGGAAGAGGCTGATAGGAATCAGAGCATCATTTCACCCTCCACGTGCCCAGTTCCCTTATCAGCTTGGAGAATCTCAAAGCAAGGGGCAAACAGCCTGAAGGGTGGGACATGGTGGTGGTGGTGGTGGCTCGGAACTGGGAGCAGCACCAACTTCTCTTTCCCTTCCTCCACACCCCTAAACCACAGAAACCACTTAAGGCTCTGCACAAACCTGCCCTTCTAGGGAGGGCCTGGGGGCAAAGGTGGAAAATACATGAGCGTGAGCAGCCTGCCCCAGGGGTGGAGGACATCTCTTTTGGAGCCTAATCCAGGGACTAGGGACTACCTTTCTTTGGTCCTAGGAGCTCCTGACCTCTCTAGTGCTTGGCCATAAAAAAAGGAACAATGAATGCTCTCTAAACATATGTAACCTAGGAATTTTATCCCTCCAGCCCTGCCCATTCCTATCACAAGGTCATTGTGGGTGGACTTTGATCCTAGCTCTGGCCTTGAACTTTCCTTGATGACCCTGGTACCTCTCATCATCAAAGTTCACATGGACTTACAGACAGCAAGGAGGGTTGGAAAGTAGGACTCTAATTTTGGAGCAGAAGGACTGGTAAGAATGTGGTCTGCTGTGTATTAGCTGTGATCCCTGAGGTAATTTACAGTCCTCCGTTACCCAAACAAGAGATTAGGGCATAGCGGAACTGGCTGGGGATGAAGGTGTGAGCTGCTAATTACAAAATCTAGGATTCATGCACAGAATAATTCCCAAAGCCCTGCACTGAACCTTTTGAATTCCATCAGGTTTTCCATAGGGTGGCCTTGACCTGATGGGAGCCTGAGGAGTGGGGATACAACAAGGACAGGCCACACTGAGTTTTTGACAGTTTGTTCTGGTGTGTTGGCCCGCCCTCACGCTGTAGGGCACCCTTCCTTTCCTGTCCTTTCCTTTTACTTGGCCCAAACTCTGTGCAGTCTGGTTCTTCTATATTTAATAAAACATTGCTGCCATTTGTGCTTGTCTTGTCCAGTTCTTTGTTCAGGACAGAAAGAACCTAGAAACCACTTCCAGAAGGAGATTCTAACACTCCAAAAACTGGTAATATGGCCACTTCAGTAAAAGGGGCAGTAACAACTATCTGGACTTGTGTGGGTAGGATTTTAGAGTCCGAGCAGTTTGCACCCAGGAGGGGTCCTCAGGACTTGCCTCTGCTGACCATAGGCAGCAGATGGACTTTGTGCATTCTGCCAACCGAGAGGGCTGTGGATGCCAGTGAACTTTCAGCCTCCCTGAGTCTTGGGGGTGGGGCTGGGTGTTTGGGTACAGTCAGAAACCTGCCCTGCAGCTAAGGCTGATCCTCAAGCAAGTTTATTTAACCTCTCTGGTTTATTTCCTCCTGGGTAAAATGGGAATAATCCTACTTTACTGAGTGATTATGATGACTGAGATAAAGCTGCAGGGTAAAATACAGGACCTGGTACAGTACAAAGTACTGTGGTTTAAAAAAGCATTTTATTCAGGTGTGGTGGCATGTGCCTGTTATTCCAGCACTTGGAAGATTGAGGCAGGAGAATCACACAAATTCAGTGCCAGCCAGGACTACATGGTGAGTTAAAGGCCAATCTGGAGTATGTAGAAAAATTCTGTCTCAAAAAAAAAAACCCTAAAAAAAAGTGTTTTATTCCCTCCCTCCTGCTTTTCCATTCCTCTAATCTTCCCTTTCTCTATCTGACCCCCCTTTTTTCTGTTCTCTTCCAGCTTTATTTTTCTATTCATATCACCTGCTAACATTGTTATTTTCACTGGTTATTTTGTAGCTTGTCTGATCCCTTAGTTTGTTTTGATTGCTGACACCTCATAGAACATTCCTAAGTATCTATTATGGAATGTAAAGTTGTTTTCCAAACGCTTTTGAACCGGGTTCCTCACTAAGGGTTGTTGTAGGAGGATTTGGGGGCTGAAGTAGAAACACAGTACAGGGATAGGGCTAGAGCTAGACTTAGGAATGGACTTCCCAGAATTCATACGCGCAAGTTCAAATAGCTGGCTGTGAAATGACTGGAGAGCTGTCATCTTGAGGGACAAGGACCCTTTCAGAGAAGGGAGGGGCAGCAGTTGGCAGTTGTGGTGTTAGAGGGAATTAGGAATTCAGACCCTAGAGCCAGATTCTCTAGGTTCACATTCTACTCTTTGTTAGGCCCAAGGTCACAATGGGTAACAGTAGTGTTTGCACCCTTATGGGGGTTGCAGGGAGGAACAAATACCCTGATAAATGGCAAGAACAGTTCTTACCCAGGAATCTCTGTGTAACTGTCAGGCTTATGGTAGTTTTTTTGGTCAATGCTACCACCTAGTGGACATCTGGAGCAAAATCTCCCTGGCCTTGAGCCCAGTGGTAGGGACCTAACTGGAGAAAACTGAGGAGCCATATGAATTGTGTGAGTGTGTTGTTTAGAGTTGCTTGTGCTAAGGTCCTGAGGTTTTATAGGGAAGTGAATAAAAGACCCAAGGGTAAGAGAGGAAGTGCTCCCTCCCTCCTTCCTCCATGCCTGGCCTGAGCCAAAAGGAATCAGTTCCTCAGAATGTGAAGGTAGAAAGCAGAAGGTCACTGCTGACGTCAGGGATTTTCAGGCAGGAGATAAACATAATTTGACCTACAGTTTTATTCATTTTCCACTCCTCCTCCTGCTCAGGGGAGTCTTTTGGGGCACTCTTCATGCCCAGCTTTCCATCCCTGGGACATCTATCTCAGTCACAGGTACCCAAATGCTATCTGATTCTTGGCTCCAAATGGCCCTCTGAGGCAGCACAGGTGTGAGAGAGGGAAGAGGAGGCAGGGTGGCTAAAGGGCATTGTGTGTTAGGCTGACATCTAACTCACTTTCATTTGTCTTCTGGACAGATACAGGTGTAAGAGGTCAGGAGGGAAGAAAGGGCTAATGTCCCCTGTGCAGCCCCAAGGACTTATCCAGGGAGTGTGGTTTGTGTTGGCCACTGTTATCAAGTTCTTATTGGGGTGACTCTGCGATCAAAGGGGTCCTTGAAGGTGTGGGGTCCGGATGGATGAACCTAGGACTTACCTAGCCCTGGCCTCTGGAAGTAACATTACTTGGGGACAGAGACCAGGCCCCAGCATGTTTAACACTCTTCCAGGATTTCTGATTTCTGATACCAGGTTATTCAAATGCTCCTCGATCCTCTGAGGCAACAAGAACTAATGTCTTTTTTTTTTTTTTTTTTTTTTTTTTTGGTCTTTTTGAGACAGGGTTTCACTATGCAGTTCAGGCTGGCCTTGAGTTCACTTTGTAGCCCAGGCTGATCTCGAACTCAACAATCCTCCTGTCTCAGCCTCCAAATTCTGGGATTACAGGTGTGAGCCACCACACTCTGCAGAAGAACAAACATTTTTGCCAGGTGCAGTAGAGAAGCAACTAGAATGCTGCAAACCCCACAGTGCCAACAAGGGAAGAGATTTAGCATTTTATTAGCAAAACATACACGGCAGGCAGATGAAGAGAATGAGGACGGTGGGCACAGTGGCGATCTCTGGAGGAAGCTGTCGTCTTAGGCTACAGGCTGAGATGCGTCAGCGCCAGGGAGGGTCCTGGACCCAGCCCTGCACTCAACGGGGGCAACAGGGCAATGAGGGGCGTCTCGCACTCCCCCAGCAGCACATCCCTGCGCAGCCCGGCGCCCCTATCCAGCACCTTGGCCTTCAGGCTGCGGGCGGCCAGGTCTGGCAAGCCCAGCCCGTCGAAGAAGAAGTCCTGGTTGAAGATGGGGTTGGCGCTGCACTTGACCACGCGGCTGCGCTGTGCGCGCTGCCGGATGCGGGGCTGCAGCCTCAGCACCACGCAGCAGCCGCCGCCGCCGCTCCCCGGGCCGGCCCGCGGCCGGGCCAGGCCCTCGGCGCTCACCAGGCGCAGGCGGAGCCGCCCGGGCGCCAGCTGGAATTCGGCGCAGAGGCGCAGCTGCCCGCCGCGCGGCCCGAGGCGCAGCACGCTCTCCTTGGCCGGCCGCAGCTGGCGGCACAGGAAGTCGAGGTGGAAGAGCGGCGGCGAGGGCGCCCCGTGGCGGCGCGGCGCGAACGGGCTGGCGACTGCGGAGTGGGCCCCCTCCAGGGCCCGCGCGTGCGGCCGGCGCCGGGCTGGGATCGAGCCCGCGACCGCGCCCGGGCCGGGCTGTGGGGAGCCGAAGGGCGACGAGTCGGACGACGAGGTCGTGTCGCTGTCGGGGACGCGGCAGAGGCGCAGGTCTGGGGCCGAGACGTACAACCGATCCGGCGCCGGGGGCAGCCCCGCAGCCAGGCCGGGCGGCGGCGCATGGAACAGGGACTCGCGGCGGCGTGTGTGCGGGCTCTCGGGCAGGAAGGCCCAGCCCTCGCGACCCGCCAGGTGCGGCAGCGAGCACGCCACGGGGACGCTGCGCACGGCAGGGCGCTCAGTGCCCCCCGGGTGCGCCAGCCGCGGCGGGATGCAGAACTGCGGGATGCGGTCCGGGGTGAGCACGTTGGGCCAGGCGCGTGGCCCCGGGACGCGGTGCTCGGGGAGCAGCCTGCAGCGCGCCCAGCGGGTCCCCGGCTCCGCGCCCTCTCTCCTGTAGCCGGCTTTCTCCAGGAGCCACATGCAGTGGGTGGGGCTGATGAGGTTCCAAATTCCGCAGGGCTGGACGGGGTGAAACCCAGCGTCTCCGCTGGGAGGGTTGGACTGGACGGCGCTGGGCTGGGAGGAGAGAGAGGATTCAGATCCAGAGCTAGGTGATGCTGCGGGCGGCCCGTCACCGCCCCAGACTCGTGGCTCGCCAGGCCTGTAATTGAGCAGGAACAAGAAAGGATGGCAAAGACTGGGACTAGGGGTGGGTGGGATGGAGCACGCGGCCGGGGGACCACATTTTCATATTTAGGCCTCGGATCCCAAGGACACTGACCCATTAGTATTAAGGACACCTCAGAGTCGGAGCTCAACACAACCACTAGAGCCATAGTTACTATTAGAACCAGAGCAACAGCGGCGCAACCAAAAGATCTTGTGGTCACAAGCTTGGGCCTACATCCCGAATCCCGCTCCTGTGCACTCTACCCTTGGCACTGTGGTCCTAGATGGGTCTTCTCCAGGATCTAATCTAGTGCCCTCAAGATTCCCTGCCTGCGTTGTCCAAGCTGCTTGTGCCCAGCTTCCCCAACTGAGCCGTCCTTCAGTCCTCGCCCCACCTGCCTACTCTGGCTCCTGCCTCAAGGCGCTATAATTGCCTTCTCAAGTTGCTGCGGGTCAGAAAGGGACCTCACTCCTGCCCCTGGCATGAGGGTGGGGGGACAAACGGGACAGCTGACCCGAGGACACCCAAAGTCTGTCCAAGGAGACGCACCTCTTGGAGTGCACGGAATCACCCCCAGCCCCAGCCCTGACCCTCTGCTCCGCAACCCCTGCACCCTATCACATCCCCAGTAGGCAGGGCAAGACCAGGCGGTTGGGTCGAACCGTCCACTCTTCAGCCTTTGTCACTAGGAAACCTTGCTGCACAAAGGCAGTATTGATTCTCCACCCCCCACCCCCCACGGGCTCGGGAAGGACACTCAGCTGGGCGCTCGTGGCACCCCTGCATCGAGTCAGTAATCCTCTGGGAAGTCTGAGTCCCTCATGGTCTCCCTGGTGCGTCCAAGGCCTTACCTGTGAACCGCTGCTGGACCCTGGCCTCTGGCTTCTGGCGCTAGGCCGTGCAGTGTCCTAGGGAATCAGTTTCTTTTCCAGCTTGCTCCCCTAGCCCTGTACTTCTGGGAGGAGCTGGCAGGGGCCTCCCTGCCTACGTCTGACTTCTTTTCCTGGATAAACACAGCTCTTGTCTCTGAGGCCGTCAGACAGGCCTTCTTAACTTCTTCCTCCAGCCAGAGCCAGGTTTCTAGCAGCAACCTCTAGACCTCTGCTTGGGGTCAACTACAGAGGAGGAGGCTGCCATCAGGGGACATGGTCCATTCCTCAGCGCAGCAGTGGCCTTCACCTCAACTTCCCATGAGAAGCCTATAGCCATGGCCATTCAAAGAACATCTGCAAAACCCTCTTTGCTGGACTCCTGCCTTGGCCCCAGTGCTGAATTCCAGAGCCATCCAAGGAGCTTTCAGGCAGAGTCACCTGGCAGAGTGACCTGGTCTCTGAATTCTAACAATTCAAAGAAAAATGGCTCAGGCTTTTTGAACACAGAGGCACCGAGGACAGAGCTGGTTATTTTGTCATTTGATACATGAGTGTTTTGACAGCATATTTCTTTTGTGGTGCTTTCTAATGCCCCCAGACTTTCCATTCCCACAATCCTGATTCAGCTCTGTCCTGATTGTATTTCTGGTAGGAGTCAGTCTCCTGGATGTGCTGTAACCAAAAACTCATCTTTTGGGCACTGGTTACATGGGTTGGGGATTTGGGCTTTGTGACTCATCTAGCTTTGTAACCTCTAGTACATAACTTTATCTCTTAGGGACCCACTTTATCCATTAGTAAATAAGCTCAACTCTCAGAATCAATGTGCAGGTTAAACAAGCTAACAGAAGGACATTAGGCTGGCTTTTGCTACATGTATAAGAAAACTCAAACTCACTTAACCATAAAGGCATTTTTTTTTTTTTATCGGTATCAGGGATCCAACTCACGACTTGCCTGCTTGCAAGGCAGGCGCTTATGCCGCTGAGCTAAATCCCCAGCCCCCATAAAGGGATTTTTAAAAAACTTTCATACTAAGCCCAGAAATTGGGGAGGATTCAGTGGAGTTTAATTTTGAGGCCTCATTCATTCATTCAGCCATATTTTCTGACTACCTAATGTGGTATTCAGATAAATCCTTTGACCAGATGTAGTTAACACTTTAATGGGGGAAAGACAATGGTGAAAAATAAGCTGCAAATATAGTGTAGCAAATGGAGATAAGTAGAAAATTAAACGAGAGGATGACAGTTAGGCCTTTGCATATAGGATTTCTTCTACCTAGGATGTTTTTCCCTTGAAGTCCTTCCTCCTTCATGTTATTACTAAAATGTCATAGTCTCAAAATGGGCATCCCCAACCACACTACATCAATTTACATATATCCCTGGCAACTGTCATCCTCCCATTAAAGTGTTAACTACATCTGGTCATCTGAATACCACATGGCACATTTGGTGATGGTGGGGCAGCAGAAAGAATGGGAGGAGAAAGAAAGCAGAGATGATAACTTTATTGAAGAATTTGCAAGTTCCAAGAAAGTGGAATAGTGGGCAATATCTAAGAGGGGCAGTGGCTAGAGAGAGGGAGATAGAATTAATAGATATTTTTTATTATTTAACTTTTTTTTTTTACAGTGCTAGAATTGAACCCAAGGCCTTGGTGTTAAACTACTCCTGCTGAACCACCTAGCTAAGGCCATTCTCCTGATCAGATCCTGACAAATACAGCCAGACTGTGGGTAATTTGTCATCAAGTTTTCATTCCCCCTGCTGTCCTGCACCAAAGGTGTACAATCTTCATTTCGTATCCACAAAAGGAAGGGAGTGTCAAAGATGGAGCTTAAGCCCAGCTAAATCTAAACCCTTGACATTTCCTCTGTATACTGCACAGATGAAGAGAACACACAGCTATGTTGGCCTTTTAAAATCACAGTCACTACCCTAACCTGGGCCATTCATGCTGCCCTCAGGCCTCCTGCAGCTTCCCAGACCACTCATGCTCCTAACTCTCCTAGGTGACTGTTCCATTCCCACCCTCTCAACCCCACCCCCTAACACTGCCCCCTCCCAGATCTCTCTCAGATGATGGCCCTGCTGCTTGTTTCTCTGAGAAGCATTTCACTAAGAAGTATTCAGAAGAGAACAAGTTCAAGCTGGGGATTTAGCTCAGGGGCATAAGTGGCTGCCTTGCAAGCAGGAGGTCATGAGTTTGATCTCTGAAAAAAAGAACAAGTTTTATCCTACCCTCTTCCCACTGATTCTCCCTTCTCTCTACTCTCTGTGGGTGAACTGTCTGCAGAGCAGGCGAAGAGCAACTCCTACCTTTATTTCTTACATCCGATGCCCATTTCTCAGAAGCAATGATTGATTGCTCTAACAATTCTCAATTCTCCCTTCTGCGCTGTCTTTTTTTCCCTATTGAATCTTTTCTGTTACCATAAAACATTTTCGTCATTTAAAAATTCTCTCAGAGCCTGTAATCCCAGCATCAGGAGACTGAGGCATGAGGATCGCTGGGAGTTACAGGCCAGCCTGGGCTATTCAGTAAGACCCTGTCTCCAAAAATAAATAAATGAATAAAAATTCTCTCAGGCTGAAGACGTAGCTTGGAGGCAGAATGTTTGCCAGTCAAGTGCAAGGCCTTGGGTTCAACCTAGGTATTTTCAGGTTTAGGTAGAGCTGCTTTTTTTTTTTGGTCTTTTTTGAAATGGGGTCTCGCTATGCAGTTCAGGCTGACCTTGAGCTCACTTGTAGCTCAGGCTAGTCTCGAGCTCACAGTGATCCTCCCACCTCACCCTTGCGAGTGCTGGGATTACAGGCGTGAACCACCATGCCCGGCTAGAGCTGCTTTCTTGAGCAAGGATCCAATATGCTGTTTTCTGAGTCTTCCCATACTATTGCTGCTATTCTTTGAGAATTCTGCAGTCACTTTTCTGTAACTACGGAAGAATTACTTAAGGCTGGATAATTTACAAAGAACAGGGTTTATGTTATTTCCTGGTTTTGGAAATTGGGAAATCCAAGGGCATTGTCCTGGCATCTTTGTGCCATGTTATAACATGGCAGGAAAGTGTCAGGACAAGTGGGTGTGTTGAGAAGATGTGGCTTCACTCATAACAGCCTGCTCTCACTTGAACAAAGCCATGCCTGAGTGAAAGGTAGTCACCCCTCTTTATGACCTAATCACCACTTATAGGGCCAATTTTCTACCATCACCATAGTGGCCTAAAATTCCATCATGCATTCCAGAGGGGACAAAATGTTCAAACTGTATCAATTTACCTGGTGACCTATGGGTCCTGACTTCCATGTTCTTGCAGGGGCTCATGTAGGAGAACTTTGAGGGGGCAGACTGCTTTCTGGGTCCCAGTGAGGTTGAAAGGCAGAGAGTGATCTGATTTATCTTCCAAGCTGGCAGGTGAATGCTACAGCGTTCTTGGGCTTTTGGATCTTGCTAAGCTGTGATCCTGAGGTCCTGTATGGCTGCCTCAGGTATTCACCGTGAGCTTTGGTGGTTGATGATAAATTGTCATACAGTTTTGGCTCCTCTCCCAGGACCTGTAATGAATGGCTTCACTATGCAGCTTCAGTTCTATAAGGCCTTGGGAGTTCCTTATTAAAGAGCTGCTACCAACTATGGTATCTGTGTTCTTCAAATTGTTGATCTTGGAATAGTCTTACAAGATGTGATCAAAACATACAGTGAGGGGCTGGGGATTTAGCTCAGTGGCATAAGGGCCTGCCTTGCAAGTGCATGGTCATGAGTTTGATCCCTGGTAAGCCCCCCCCCACCAAAAGAATTATTAAAAAAAAACATACAGTGAATGTTTTATATTTTAAAAAAATTTACCATGCTAAAAGACACATTACCGGGGCTGGGGATTTAGCTCAGCGGCATAAGCACCTGCCTTGCAAGCAGGTAGTCGTGAGTTCGATCCCTGGTACTGATAAAAAGGAAAAAGACCAAAAAAAAAAAATAATAATAATAATAAAAAAATAAAAGACACATTACCATTAATCCCCTTCAAAAATATTCCCCCTGGTTTCAAACATACTTGATCCCATCATTCTTGCCGCTTTCTGAGGCAGTCTGGAAGTCTTTGTCCATGAATGTTTTTAATTGTACTACTGTAACTGTCTTGATCCCTATATTAATTAAAATACTAACTTTCATGGTCATTTTGACTTTAGGGAGGAGCCAGAAGTTGCAAGGTATCAGATATGGTGAAAATAAAATGGGTAAGGACACACTGTTAATATTTTTATTTGATAGAAGTTGCTATAAACCTTTGATCAATGAGAAATGATCATAAATACATTGATTTTTTTGTTTTTGTCCTTTGAGGAAGGTCTCACTGTATAGTCCAGTCTGTCCTTGAACTCACTGTATAGTCCAGACTGATCTTGAACTTACAGCAATACTCCTGTCTCAGTCTCCCAAGTGCTGGGATTACAGGCATTCACCACCATGGTTGAGTTAAAACTATAGTTAAAACTCATGTCATGGTAGCCAGGAAGCTGAGAAAGAAGGGAGGAGCTGGAGAAGGAGACACACCCTTCCAGGTCACATCACAGGAACCGCCTCTTCCAACCAGGCCCCACCTCCTATCAGCACATTCAGTTCTGAATTCATTGGTGGATTAATTAATCATAGCAGCCTTGTGATCTAATCACCTTCCTGAGGCCCCACCTCTGAGCACATGTGAGTTCTGGGAGCACTCTAGATCTAAGCCAGAAGAATGTGGTCTAGTTACTGTTTAAGTCAAAAAATTTATTACAGTAAGATACATCAGTGCCCTTCCAAATATTCAAAATTCTCATTTCAAACACACTTACCTCATTGTTCTTGGCAATGTGTCTTTTACTGTAATATAGTTTTTTCCTAATGTAAACATTTACCACATGGTTTGATCACCCTTTGTACTCTTGGTACTTGACTTAGTCATCTAGAGAATGCATACTCTTTACTTCCAGCAGGCTACGCACCCACACTTGCCTGGATGGCCTACTGGATTCTAGCCCATCTACCTATGCAGTAGCTGAGGTCCAGATCAAGATGCCACTCATTTACAAACCAGACAGCTGAAATACTTGGCCTCCTGGGAGAGGAGAGGCGTCTGCCAAGGCCCAGAAAATAGAGAAGTGTCCTAGCAGATTACAAACTTACCTCCCTTCCAAGACCATACCTGCCCAGCCGGCCTTCTCCAGTCATGTCTGACACTCTTTGCCTGAGAGTCCCCACCTCTGCAGATTTCTACACTGAGCTGAGCTGATTTCTGTTAGAAACTTGTCAGTGGGGACAGACAAGTGCCAGGGTGCATTCAGCCTATTTTAATATGGAAACTCAAACACAACTGTTTTGTTTGTCTTTCTTTTTTTTAATTGTATAGGAAAAATGAAATACATTTCCCTTCTGAGAGTGTTTGAATGAAGATTAGCTTCTCTCTGACCATGATAAAGGGCAAACAGTTTTTAGTATACAGTGATTTAGACTCTAGGTATAATAGATTATCAAGGACAATTGTGAAAGCACAAAGGAGAAAAGAGTTTTGTGAGTATACAGGGAGAGGACAGTTGGCTGTCACAAGATTGTTGGCTATCGCTCCTAAAACATCTCCAGCTTTTGGGAAGCACTGGTTCACATCCTTTTCTACTGTCTTGGTCCCTCTCTCATTGCTGGAACGACATACTCAATACTCACAATTTGAAAGAGGACAAGTTTATTTTGGCTCATGATTTTTAGAAGATTCAGTCCATAGTTAGCTGGTTTCAAGGCAGGAAGAGAAAACTGGAAGGGTCTGGGAGAGGAAAGGTGCTCATGTCATGGTAGCCAGGAAGCTGAGAAAGAAGGGAGGAGCTGGAGAAGGAGACACACTCTTCCAGGTCACATCACAGGAACCCGCCTCTTCCAACCAGGCCCCACCTCCTATCAGCACATTCAGTTCTGAATTCATTGGTGGATTAATTAATCATAGCAGCCTTGTGATCTAATCACCTTTCTGAGGCCCCACCTCTGAGCACATGTGAGTTCTGGGAGCACTCTTGATCTAAGCCATAATATCTATATATTTTGCCCATCACTTGAGGTTGACTGCGTAGAAGAATGTGATCTAGTTACTGGAAAGATCCACCTCCCTTACCACTACTGCTGAATTTATGCACAATTCTCTGGCCCTGTTCCATGCCATGAAAAATGTCATTCTTTTTTTTTTTTAATTTGTCTTTTTGAGACAGGGTCTTGTTGTGAAATTTAGGCTGCCCTTGGGCTCACTTTGTAGCCCATGTTGGTCTTGGACTTACAATGATCCTCCTGCTTTAGCCTCCCCAGTGCCGGGATTACAGGATTTGCACCACTACACTTGGTTTAAGGTTTCATTCTTTCTGGTCTCCTGAATTCCCAGCCTCATTTCCTAGATCCTAGAATCACACCTCTTTGTCCAGGCTCCTGCATTGCCTGCTTCCTGTCCACCATGCCATGAGCATATCTCTTCCTTCATGTACTCTGCCATGTGTTTCTTCTTTGGAGCCAGATGATCAATCCCTGAAACATAAGCCAAAGTAAATCTCTCTTTAAATTGTGGGTGTCAGGTATTTTGTCCTACACCAAAGAAAGAAAGTGAGTAAGGCAGAGGCTGTCTTAGTTATTTCTCTTTCATTGCTGAGATGAAATACTCAATGCCCAAAATAAAGGAAGGAAAGGTTTATTTAGCGCACAGTTTGTGGAGATTTCAGCCCATACTCTGGCTCCAAGGCAGGGTGGTGTGGCAGAAGAGCAATAATCCATGGCTGGACAAAGATACACCCTTCCAGGTCATGCCCACAGTGACCCACCTCTTCCAGACCTTACCTCCCAACAGCAAGCCAACTATAACACTGCCATAATCCACTAACTTCCCCAAAGCCCCACCTATCGCATGAGGTTTTCAGGACACATCTAGAGATAAAACATAACACTGCATTAGGGGTCAGATTCAGGACCAACCATGACCTGTAGATCCATTCTTTAATCTGACAGCTAGATGCCAATACTCAGTACAATTTTCATGAGTTGGACATGGCAGAGGTTTTGTCAGTTAAGCTCCTGAATGACTCCTAGACACCACCAGCTGGACTTTATAGTGAAGTTCTCATTCTCTGGTAACACTTTCTTAACCTTGACATTTCCAGAACATCCTCACTACCTACTGATCTTATGCAATTACTGAACATTGTCTTCATCTACTGGGCTCATGCAATTCTGGCTGTCACAAGATAGGACTCTTTGGGCGGGGGATTTAGCTCAGTGGTTCAAGTGCTTGCCTGGTAAGCGCAAGGTCCTGAGTTAGATCCTCAGTACGAAAGAGAATACTTCTTTCTCCTGCAACCCTCCCTGTGGAAATTGCTCAGTTTCTTACTGCATCCTCCCTGGTCCTGAAGAAGCCATTGTTCTCACCCTATTGTTCCCCACCCCATCATTCTCCATTATGGCAAACCTTTGCCTCTTAGCAATGTGCACCAGCCACACCTCTATCTTTTCTCTTCTACCACTGTTCTCCCTGCCTTACCCACCTTGCTGCTGGGTTTTGCTGGCGGCTGTCCCTTCCTCTAGCCCAAACTGTTGCTGTTGCAGATCCCTAGTTTTCTACCATCAGCAGACTCCTAGGTGCTGTCACACGAGTGCTTGAGCAACATGTTTTCCTGACTGCTGCTCAAAGACCTCTCCAAATCTTCCTTCCTCCACTTTTTCCCTACTGCAGGTCTAGTCTCCTATTTCACTGAGAAAGTTGAGGAATGCTGGCTTGAGCCCCTTGACTCTCATCCTGCTGTGTGCCCCATCGCCTGCTTTTTGGTCTCTGAGTCACAGGCCACTCTCTAATTTTTCCACTTGGACTCTATCTACCTATAAGACCAGAAAGCTGTGTTAGATGACACCTCTACCCCCTCCCCAAAGTTTCAGCCTATCTCTACTAGTTCCTTTCAAAGTAATTTATAAATATAGCCAAATACCCTTCCTTGAATAGTAACAATAAAATTTCACAGGGGAAAAGCTACATTCATTTCATTTCCCATTCATGTTTTCATTCATTATAATTTGGAATTTAACCCCTTCCCTAACTGGCTCTGGCAAACACCTCCTCCTTCCTCCGCCAAATCCAAAGTCCTCTTTTTCAGTTGTCATTTTTCTTGCTTTCTCTTCTGCATTTGATATGCAGCCCTCATCCTCTTGGGGCAGTCACTCTGGTTCTATTCTCAGAACCTTAGTGGATCCTTTATCTTCTGCCCCAACTTTAAACCTCCTTGTGGCCTAAGACTCTATCTTGAATCCTTTCCTCCTTCCCTGTCCTCTCTTCCCTGTCAGCCCCTGCCCCTTGCCCCGTTTTTTTTTTTTTTTTTTTCACTCTCAGTTCACCTTTTGCACTGACTCACAAATTGAGTCAACAGCTCTTCCCTCCTATGCAGCTAGTCAAAGTGTCCAGAATTCTGCAGGTATGTCCTCCATGACAGGAGCGCCTGGGCACTCCAAGCTCAGTACACCTGCTCCACCTCTGCTTCACACCCACTTTGGTTCTCCCAATGATACTACCTGAAACTCCCCAAGCCAGGACCTCCCAATCCAGGGCTGCAAGGGCAGGAGCTTGGACTCATCCTAGACAGCTCTCCTGCACTAATCTGCAGTGAGAAAGTGAGAAAGTCTTGCATGCCTTTGTTTGGTAGCATTTCCCATTACCTCACCTCCATGGCTCTGACCCAGGCAGCTCTTACTGTCTCCAGTGAAGAGTCCTTTAGGGCTCTGTTGCTCCTGCCTGCAGTCTTTCTGCCCTTTTCCGCCACCACAGTCATCTTTTAAAAAGATAGAACTTGAGGAAACTTTCCTGTTGCTCCTGTTGCTTACAAGACAAAGTTCAAAGCCTATACAGAAATATGGAAGCCAGCCAGGGGCTGCTCCTGTCCTGGCCACCTTCTCCTTTAGATGCTTGCCTGCCCCAATGCTTTGCTGTTCTCCAGAGCCCCTGTGCTCTTTCGGGATACTGTGCCTTTGTTCTCCCACTGCCTGGTGAGCATCACTGAACTTTTGAGACTCAGCTCAGGTACAGTTTCTTCTAGAAAGCCTTTTTTGACTGTGTTCAGAGAGTAAAATGGATCTACTTCCCTTTGGGCTATACTGTGTTTCTGATATGATCCAGGGCAGAATAAGAATTTGTTGGGGTGTTCTGTGCTCGTCATTGCTGTGGACCGAATGCCTCAGCTAGAACCTGGAAGATGCCCAGTAAATCTTTCCTGTGGGTGCTGAATGGGAAGGTGTGTATGTGGGAGGCCGTAGGAGGATTTCGCTTTCAAATTACAAGAAGGTTGAGCATGGGGCAGTGAAAGTTTATTCAGAGAGAGGGTCTCTCAACATCCACAGCACTTGCTTCCTGTTGTGTGTTGAGTTCCAGGCACACAGAGCCGTCAGGGTTGACTCTGCTGATGTCATAGTGACTACTATTAGGGTGACTCTTTTTCCAGTGACAGCTGAAGGAAGACACCTGCAAGAGAAGGATGAGCTGAGTGTTGGGAGTAAGGAGCTCGCTGAGGTGCTGTGCATATTTTGCTCCAAATCACCCCTGTCCTGTGGTATAGGTTGTATAACCCCTATTTAACAAGACATCCTAGTTGAGTTCTCCTTCATTTCACCCATGTCTGTAGCAGGTGCAAAATTCTATCCCTTAAAAAGCTGGGGCCCTGGTTGAGAGTGGATCCTTAGCAATTTTCCTCCCTTCCATTTGTTCTGGGGTGGGTTGTGGCAGGGCTGGGACTGAGGCTGAGGATTTCTTTACCTGAGCACTTGGCAAACACTGTCTGCTGGTCTCTGCTCTGGGCAATGCAGGACATGTAGAGCTTCTGGTCCTCAATCTTGTCCACTTGGACGTTCAGGACAGCCAGAGAGCCCACAGGGAGCAAGCTGGGGGAGCAGGCACTGTAACTCATTCCCCATCTCCTCACCCCTGAACCCCCTTCTCTTTATCCCACGGACCTCAAGGACCCATAAGTGGCCAGATCTTAGGAACTGTTTGTTGGGTTCCAATGTGGGGCAGCAGAGATTGTCCTCTGCACAGGGATGAAAGGAGAGCCCGGGACTGGGTTGGGGAGGAGAGCAGTAGGCAGGACCATACCCTAGCTGGCAAGGAGGGCCTCTCCAAGTGAGGAAAAGGCCATGACTTGGGCCAATGCCCTAGGGATCCATACTTACTTTTTGAACCGGATGTTGAGGCTCATCGTGAACAGCCCCTCTCCAGCCAGGTAGGCAGTTTTAGAAAAGGTCTCATCTATCATGGCTGTCAGAGACCCTCCATGGGCAAACCTGAGGATGTGAGTGGGGAGCAAGTCCAGGTTTGGGAAGGTGGGCAGACTCCTCCACCTGGGCAGTGACAACCCCATGCTCCTCCCCTCCCAGGAGCCTTCCAAAGATAGAGCTGCAGCCTCAGGCAGCCAAACAGGAAAGGACACAGAGCTGCATCCCAGGCGATCAAATCTGAGCTGAGCTTTTCTTTTGTTTTGCTTCAGCACTGATACGAGTATTTTATTTCTCCTGGAAAAAAAATTTTTTTTCTCAAAGGGTTAAAGGAAAACGTTTTCTTGATTTGTCATCTAATTGATTACAATGATTGCTATAATTTGGAAGTGTACATGAATGAAGAGAATGGAAAACCTCTGAACTTTTTTGACTTTGTCTTTAAAAGGAAGTTCTTATGACCTTGGGCCTTATCTTACCAGTCACTACAGCCAGTGGTGGACCTGATTTTCAAGACAGGCAAATGAGAAATGTAACTTACAATATATAAAGTGCCAGCAAACTGACTTCTGACTGGCACTGCCCATGGAAAGGCAGAAGCCTGCTTCAGCAAGATGCTGCAGACATATGCTTAGTTTAGCCTACATAAAACGCTCATTCGCATTTTACAAAGGCAGCCTCTATGCCAAGGCCATTTTATTGTTTAAGTTGGGAAAAATAGAGTGCACCCAACTCTAACAGATTTGAAACAGATTTGAGTCTCTGATTTTTATTGTTTTTCCTTTAGAGACAGTTTTTTATATGTAATCAAGGCTGTGCTCACACTTGCTCAAACTCACAATCCTTTGGCCTCAGCCTCTTGAATAATGGGGTTATGGGTGTGTACCACCATGTCTGGTTTGAGTTTCTGATTTTTGAAAGTGCAATTGTAATTCTCCACAGACCCTGGCCAGCTGCACATGCTATACTACTGTGGGTTACACTCTTGTTCCTGCTACCAACTGGCTTCCTTTTCCTTTGGTGGACTCTGCTGGGGGCCATGACATCACACTGCCTGGCTGGAGCCCTTGCGGTACTGTTTGACCTTGAACAAGTAGCTAAAACTGAGCTTTAGTTCTTCTTTTTCTTTTTCTCCCTCTTGTTCTCCTTCTCTTCCTCCTCCTCCTCCTTCCCCTCTGTTCCCACCTCCCTCCTTCCCTTCCTCCTCCCCACCTTCCTCTTCTTTTCCTTCTCCCTCCTCTTCTTTCACTTCATCCTCCTCCTGCTTTTTCTCTTCATCTTACTCTTTTTTTCTCTTCCTTCTTTTTTTTTGCCAGACCTTTACATCAAACTACATACACAGCCCTTAATAAGGATTTTACTAAGTTGTTAAGTTGTCCAGGCTGGGTTTAAACTTGTGATTCTCTTGCCTCAGCCTTCCAGAGTGCTGGAATTACAGGCATACACCACCTTACCAGGGTTAATTTTTCTACTATGAATTATGAATTGTGCATAAAAATGGACAGTCTTCATCATCTCCCAAAGTGACTCAGAGAAAAAGCAATGGTGTTAAAGAACTCTAGGCAGTTCCTCCCCCCTCATCCTTGCTTCCAAGGACAGGAACCCATTAGTAAGTAAAGGTTCTGCCGAGCAGCTCTTAGCCGGTAACTAAAGTGCCCTAAAGTCTAAGGACCTCGTAGACTATAGTTTTTTGCTGTATCCTCCTCAATCCACTGCCTGGAGTGTGCTGGAGTTTGAGGCAGCAGAGTGCAGAGAACACTGTACTTGGAGTCCAGTTTCTAGAGTCCTAGATCTGATTTGGGCAAGGTCCTTTAACCTCTATGCATCTCAGATTCCCTATGGATAAAATGTGGCATTTGGATAGGTGGTGCCTAACAGCTATATTGTGCTTTATGGCTCATGCACACCCACAGAGGCCCACATATGATGTCTGTCAGTCTCCTTTGCAGGTAGATATAACTGACTTAAGTTTAAAGTAAGAAGATGAGGGGCTGGGGATTTAGCTCAGCGGCATAAATGCCTGCCTTGCAAGCAGACAGTCGTGAGTTTGATTCCTGGTACCGATGAAAAGGAAAAAGACAAAAAAAAAAAAGTAAGAAAATGAGAACCAGAGGCCATATTGATTGCTTGCAAGAATGAAGCAGGATTGGAAGTCTGGCTCTTGATTCCAGATCTTACCCTCTTCCAAATGCATCACATCTTCTCAAGATGGCCCCTCAGGTCCTTTGTTGCTGGAAAATTCTGAGATCTGGATAAGGGAGCTCTCTTTAACTACATAGTGGCATTGAACCAGATATATAAGCCAATGTGTTCTTCCAGGCCTGGCATCTTGAGGCTGAAGCCCAGTTCCTTGTAATGCCACCCTGACTCCTAGGACAGGTGCAGACTCCAGGGTCTTATAGGGCCCAACTGGCCTACTGAGCCAAGTCTAGAGATCCCCACCCTAGCCCTGCCTGTGGCCTTACCCTGGAGGCCCCTCCAGGTAAGGGCCTGGTTGGAAAAGACAGATGGACTTCTTCTTAGTTGGGTGGAAAAAGATGACATACTCGTAGCCTTGTCCTGCCACTTGGATGCACCTGGTGAAGATTCGATAGTCACCAGGAGGAGAGATGTCTGAGGAGAGATGAGCTGGAGGAAGGAGGGTACAAGGGTCATGGGTCTTGCTAGGATGCAGTATCTAGGTCTGAGCCCTGCCTCTGGTACAGGTCACAGGAGACAACCAAGGACACCCAGGGTATCTCTCAGGGAGCCTTTGAACTGGGAGTGGATACATAGTCCCTGACTTCATAGAGAGCCTGTTTCTGGGGGACAACACTCTAGAAGTTCCCCAGCTCAGAGTGGGGTTAGGATCAGAGCCAGATTAAGACTTAAAACACTGCAAGCATTAAAAGCAGGGGGCTGAGGATTTAGCTCAGCGGCATAAGCACCTGCCTTGTAAGCAGGCAGTCATGAGTTTGATTCCCGGTACCGATAAAAAGGAAAAAAGACCCCCCCAAAAAAAAAAAACTATAATTACTTGTGTATAATTACTTTTTTTCAACTATAGTAAAATTTAATTGTGTATAACTACTTTAATTACAATTAAAGACAATAGTACAAATAGCAAAATAAACTGGGGATTGAAGTCACCAGCTTTTGCTTGCCAAGCAGGCACTTACGCCTGCTGAGCTAAATCCCCAGCCTAGAAATATCAAACTCTTAAAAGAAATTTTTTTTCCATAGGAACGTGACATTGTGATAAAAGAAATTATTTTGATGCCCTGTTTTGTATCATAACCCTAGAGTTTCCTGCCAGCTGAATGCTCTGGGCGTGAATCATACATAAAAATGAGACAGACAGACAGAAACACACCCACATACACATACACACAAAAGGAACAAGGTAATCAGATTCATGGGGTATTGCCGAATGCTGGTCTGGGCTGAGGCCTGTGACAGGCGAGGGGCACAGTCCGAGGGCTTTGATGGGGTTAGAAATGAGGGCCTATGATAAGGCTTGAATGTGAAGGAAGAACTGTCCATGAGAAGCTACACAAGGTGGGGTCCTGAGCTTGCAGGTCTCTGGTGGAGTGGGACTCAGCTGACAGCAAAGTTGCCTTGTAGGGTGTGTGCCAGTCAGGTGAGAGGAAGGGAACCAGTGAAGTAAGATCCTTCTGATTCACCATCTCCACTTTCAGCAGAGAGTAGAGGGAGACAGCAGGAAGAGCTTCTCTAAACAGGGCTTGTGAATTTCCCTTCCAAGGGTCTTTAACTGCAGGGAAAGGGGATTGGCTGAGCCTACCTGAGGGTCCCATCAATGTGGGCCGAGGTGAATATGTGCCCATGGGTCCTCCCAGGCCCAGCCTTACCTGAGGTAGCTATCAGGCCAGATGGGAGCTTCAGCCCTTGCACATGGTCTCTGTTGGACTTGAAGGAGGGCAGTTTGATCCAGCCTTCTGAGTTGGTCTTCTTCAGAAACTCTTGGTACAGGCTCAACATGTCTGGACTCCAGCTGGCATTGGGAAGGGCATAATCCTTGAAGTCTGTCTTGCGAAGGAATCTTGAGACCTGGCAAGGAACAATCAAGGGGACCAGTTGACGTCCTGGAGGGCAAGGACTGCTGCTTGGGTTGTGGGATCTCCAGGCAGTTTTTTTCCTGCCTTGTGGATGTTTTAGGCTCAGCTATTGGAGTGTTAACTTAAAAGAAAGAGCCCATCTTCCCTGCAGATTTCCTGGGGACTTCTATGGGTGATTCAGCAAGGAATAATAAAGAGTCAAAGAGAAGGGAAGGAATAGGGGCCAAGAATTAGAGCTGTGCAGCTCAGAGGTGGTGAGTTACACATACTCAATTTAAACATCTGTGAGTGGTTCTTTGAGCCTGGTAACTGCTAATATAAGTCCCATTGCACAGATGGAAAAACTGAAGAAATATAGCTAAGGTTGCCAAGCTTATGAGTGTGAAGGCTGATTGTTGGACTGGACGCTGACCACCAGGTGCGGTAAGACCACAGTTGGTGAGGGATACTTTTACAGACCCCTCACCTCAGGGCCATCAGCTCCATTCACAGCTGTAAGCCTTCCTGGACAGGGTAGCTCCTCTGAAACATGTTTGGGTACCCCCAGAGGTGGTACAGGAAACAAGAACAGTAGTCCATCAGTGGGATGAGGAGGTCCTCTATAGGGTCAGCTGCTCATGTACCAATCGCAACTGGGAACAATAAGGGAGCTGCTTATCAAGACCACAGACAGGTTCTCTGTCTGAAAGTACCCCAACTTAGCTGCAAAATTCTGAGTTCCACAGAAGCAAAATGGCAATTTGTTGGTGGCTACACAGGAGTCAGACCAGGATGTAAGCAAGCGTCTGGGTGGATTTAGTTTGGGATCTGAGCTACATGGTCTCCTAGAGCACCTACCCTTTACCCTTTATAGTGCCTCTGGTCACAAGCTGGAAAGAGGCAATTCGGGGTGCTCTGTAGACCATAGGCTCTGGGGAGAATGTCTGCCCATCTGACTGAGCTAGGAACTCACTCACCAGGGAGTCTGTGGATGACCCAAATGCTGAGGCAGAGCTGAGTCTGGGCAGGATACGGAGGGTCCTGGGGAAGGGTGTGTGGTGGCCAAGTCTTGCTGCCACCTGGAAGCCTTTCTTCATCATGGATAAATGTCCGCTTGGATCTGAGGAGAGCTGCAAGATAAGAGAGCACAAGAGGGCTGTGGGTGTAGCCACTTCCCTTAGGCACTCCTTTTTGTCACAGGCATTCTTTCAGAGAGGATCTTTGGGCTAGTATGGGCTGGTACAACACCCACAGGCACCTGGGGCCTGGAGCCACCTCAGAGCCCCATCCAGCATTTGGGGAGGGAAGGACACTGCCTAGCAGGACTGACCCAAGTTCAAAAAGAACACATCACTAAAGGATGAAATGTGCATGTGAAAGTCATGTGGGGTCTATGGAGCTTTAGGGAGCTGTGCTGGAGGAAAAGAGAGGTTTATCTCTGACTGCAGTGTGTTAGTGGCACATGCACAGTGTGTGCTCTGCAGCAGGACTCTGAAAGCTCTGGCATGATTCGGGGACTCCAAAAACCAACTCACAGCTCTTGGATGCCCCTTTCTTATGTCCTGGACAGGATCAGCCAGGGAGGCTTCCACCACCTGGTCCCTGGCTTAGGATAGGAGGTGGAATGTATGAATTAGGTGGTGGTAGGGGGGGCACTGAGTGGGAGGACAGAAAATCATCCGGGAGGAAGCAACTAGCAAGGGAACTCATGCTCTGGGGTCATCAGGAAAGGGATGAGGGCAGCAGACAGGGCTGGGAATGAGGTGGGGACAGGGAAGGAAGCTTTGTCATGGCAAGTCTGGGAGCTTTGGGTGAGTGAGTGGGGGAGGAGTGCTCCATCATCATCAGCTGATGTGTAAATGCTTTTTGGCAGTATTAGTGGTTCTATTGAATGAAAATGGCCAGTTTTCAATGAAATGCCTTAATTTTTTTTTTATTTAAGCTAAAAAAAAAAAAACAGAAACAGGGTACAAGTAATACAAAATGTAAAAAACAGTAAGAAATCACTAGTTAATAGATTACATATTCTCATCTTAGAAATAGTTGTTCAAGTTACAAAATTAAAGCATATAAAGTGGACTTTCAAACAGTGAGAGTGCAAACAGTTTTGTTCAATGATCCAAAAAAACTCAGTAATATGGTTATCTATCTTATACACTTAAACATATATGCAGTTATAATGTTTAGAGCACTTTCTTTTCTTTTGTACAATGACAGTTACACATTTTGGGTTTTATTACTCCCACAGTTCTTATTACTTCTTTTGAAGAGAGTAAAACCAAATCGTGACGTATCAGGTCAGACAAATCAAAAAGATGGACATAATAGATAATATAAAAACAAAATACAAGGTGAAATGCTTTAATTTTTAACTTACCAAAATAAAGCCTATTCTAAAGATCAGAACTGAACAAAGTGTAATGATGATGATAATGATATTTTGGCAGATTCTTGAAAAATCTAACTGATTTATTTTATTTATTTTGGTACCAGGAATTGAACTCAGGAGCTTACACTTGCCAGGCAGGTGCTTATTCTGTTAAACTATATTCCTGCCTTCAGACTGATTTAATGTGAAAACTTAGTATGGTTACTGAGCCAGGCCCATTTGGCTAGCTTCCTAGTACATGGATTGCAGAGACAATGAATTTCACAAGAGTTTATTTGCATATTAGCAAAGACACTTAAATTGGCAACTGAAAATTTGATATATGATACTTTATATTTAATTGCTATGCTGGGATACAATGATATTTATAAGATCAGTGGAAAATTTGATAGTTTAGGCGTGAAATATGACTCTTTTTTTTTTTTTTATCGGTACCAGGGATCGAACTCATGACTGCTTACTTGCAAGGTAGCTGCTTTATGCCACTGAGCTAAATCCCCAGCCCCAAAATATGACTCTTCAGAGCTGTTCAAACTGGAATTTCCACCAGGTGCAGGCCTGTAATCCCAGCATTCAAGAGACTGAGGCAGGAGGATTGTTGAGAGTTTGAGGCCAGCCCAGGCTACAGAGTGAGTTCAGGGCTGGTCTGAAATACATGGTCAGACCCTGTCTCAAAAAACAAATGAACAAAAAACAAAATAAAATAAAGTAAAATAAAATTTAAAAAAAACTAGAATTTCCAATGCCTGGCACATCAATACCTGCTGAAATATATATATATATTATATATAATTATAATATATTATATATAATATATGTAAAACAAAGACAAATTCAAAAACAAAAACAAAAAAAACAGAGTTTATTTGCAAGGCAGCTAAGTAGGAATAGGGAAGGGAACACCTAAACCTCAAGTGTGCCGCCCTAAGGATGGGATCTAAGGGGATTGAATGGGATATAGAAAAGCAGAGTGGTTCAAGGTGTGGGAAAAGTGACTGTAGGTGGGGTGATCGGCTGTCTTCGCATGTGCAATCAAACTTCCTGGCTCTTCATGTTCAGAAAATCCTGGTGTCAGTAATCTGAGGATTGAGATTTTGGCCTCTTCACATCAAAAGTCACTCACTGGACACTTGCAAAGGCCCAAGTGAAGAACAGGTGGCTTGGGGCTGGGGATGTAACTCCATAGTAGAGCACTTGTCTAGCAAGAATGGGGCTCTGGGCTCAATCTCCACTATCTCAAAATAAAAAGTCAGTAGTTTAGACAAAAGGGATCTTTGCATTCCTGAAAAGTAACCCAGACAACTGTTGTCACCGTAACCCACATCAGAGGTGTTATCTACAGCAAGCTAGTGGGAGACTAGTTCCGCTGTGTGATCTCCAAAATTAAGGGTTTTAATTTTTTTGTTACTACATATTTGCATTACACAAAGTTTATATTCATTTTGGGGAGCAGGTGCATATGCCCAGCTCAATTCTTTTCTAACCCCCCTCCCCTTCCCACCCACCCGCCTCGCTCTATCTCTTATATTTCTTTCCCCCGTTTTCATTCTAACTGCTATTATGTTTAGTTAGTCTTTATGACATATAATGTTTGTATTTATTGTGGGTAGTGGGTACTTGTACAGGACATATCTTAAATCTTTTATTTCCCACACCCCTTGCCCTGGGTCTTCTGGATCCCTTCCCATTTGCAAAAGATCTCCCTGTTTGAATTAAGGCTTTTTAAAGCCAACTAAAAGAGCAAGTAGCTAATGTTTCAGGGGGGCTCAGAGTGAGAGAAGTAAAAAGTACAAAGGGACTAGGCCAGCTATATTTGTTGGCCAGTAATGATGACAGAATTTTGTCCTTTCTTGGAGTCTTGGAAACAACAATCTTTTTTTTTTTTTTTTTTTTTTTTTTTGGTCTTTTTGAGACAGGGTCTCGCTATGCAGTTCAGGCTGGCCTTGAGCTCACTTTGTAGCCCAGGCTGGTCTCCAACTCACAATGATCCTCCTGCCTCATCCTCCCGAGTGCTGGGATTACAGGAGTGCGCCACCACACCCAGCAGTCATTTTCTTTTGAAGGTTCTATGGCTGGGAAGGGCTATCAGGTTCTTGAAAAATGCTTCCGAGTTACAAATGCTACACATTCACAATGGCAAGCCCTTCTTTTAGTGAATGTCTGGGAGAGGTTATAGCCTGTGGAGTAAGGACTCATTTTTAGTTTCACCTTTGAATTTGGCTGTCCCAGAGGACCACACCATAAACCTTTTCCTTTACCTGCAATGATGTTTTGAATTCCTCAAACTGGTAGAATCAGTTTTATTTTGATTGATTAGCCTCTGGGCCTACACAAAGATGCGAAACAGAAGGCCGAGGCTTTCCAGAGAAGGGGAAAGACCTGGCAACAGCATGTCTTTGGCAGCAGTTGGCAGGAATGCTATGCTTCAGCCTGGACAGGTGTCTAGGGGTGTTGGACATACTTTGTCCTTTGCCTGCCTCAGTGTGTGGTCCTTGCTTTAGAACATAAGACTTGAAAGGAGAGCTAGGCATGGTGGTGCACTCCTGTAATCCCAGTACTTGGGAGGCTGAGGCAGGAGGATTGAGGAGAAAAGGGAATCTTACAAAAGGTGGATGAATTGGAGTTGGAGGCAAGGGAAGGGGACACTGAGGGCTCCTCAGGTGATATGAAGGCTTGGAGCTGGTCCCAGCAAGCTGGCCCCAGTGAGACGGAATAGAGGGTCTGATGCTCTGTAAGAGGTAATTTTTATTTTTCCCTAGTTGCCTCAGATGCTTTGCAGTCATCCTGGCTACATCACGTGCCCATGCCCACTCTAGGAGACATTTTTGGCAGCAGGCTTTGGATATGAACTTATCTTAGACAATTATCCCTGCAGCCTCCTGGATGATTCTGGTGTCCCTTTGCAAGCCATCCTTACTTAGGTCTGAGAAGAGCCATTCCCTAACAATGACCAAGCAGGAAGTCTGAAACTTCATGCACATGAGCCCTTTTTTCCTTGAAGCAACCTCCCTAGACTTTAATGGATTCAGTACATCACTGACCTCCTTGTCTTGCATCATAAATCCTATTAAAGCTTCTTTTTAGATGGCATATTCTTGCCTATTTGTGATTTATATATCTAGTAGAGCATGTTGAGCTGGTATGTTGAGTTGATAAGACCAGAGGTTTCTAGCACTGAAAGCAGCTAGAACCAGAGATTGATAGAAAGCAATGGCAAGTTGCTGAGAACCACTGACTCTTGATGCTCAGAAGAGTTCTTGAGGCCTGATTAGTAGCTGTTTACTCTCTGTGGCAAGGAGAGCTGCTAACAGCAAAGGAACTGGTAGCCACTGGTACTCAAAGCTCATGGCTATTAATATTAAAAGAGCTATACTTTGCCAATTCTTAAGTTCTATGCAAAATGAGTCTTACGGTTTGTGTCTGGATGTTTACAAAGCCTCTTGTCATGAGGAGCAGGCTTTTCAGAGGTGGCTGAATCTAGCGTTTGTGATTGGTTTATCATCTAGAGCTGGGGTTTGTGAGTGCTATATCCTCCCTAGGGTGGGTAGGCCATATACAGTATAAGGAGGAAAAAGAAGCTTGCTCCTCCCTTTTGCTCTTGTTCCTTTTGCTGTTCACCATCACCATGAACTTGTTGCCCCTCTGGCATGCCAGCTAATTATGGACCGCAACTTACACAAACTGTAAGCTAAATAAACTTTTCCCCCTTTTAACTGTGGTGTCAGATATTTTGTCTCAGCAATCAGAGGAAAGAAACTAGGACAAAGAGGAAGAACCTTCAGTCATTTGGTAACATCTTGGAAGCACACATGGGAATCCTTTCGTTTTGAGGGCTTTGAAGAAGAGGGTGGACAAGAACCAGCCCACGGTCTGGTTTCCATCTTACATGTGGCTTAGGATCCGTGGTAGCCTGTGACACTAGGAGGAGGAGAAGGATGTTTTCCTGCAAAGAGAAGGCCAGGGAATAAAGCCACAGTCTCATTGCACAAGAACCATTCAGGAGCAAGTTGGTATCTGTGTCAGCAGGCTTCCTGCAGGCTGTATACCTACTGGGTGGGAGTAGGATCTAAATCACCTGTTGCACAATTTGAGGGACTAGTACCCTCCCACTTGAGTTTTCCAGAATTTGATTTAATTAATGCCCAGGTATTTCCACAATTATAATTATATAATTTTTGTTCTCAGCTTTGTCACATATTATAGCTACATTCCCTTCCTTTTTGTGTGTGTATGGTACCAGGAATCAAACTTAGGTCCTCATGCTTGCTAGGCAGGCATTGCATCACTGAGCTATATCCTTGGCCCTACATCTCTTCTCTCATATAACTTTTGTTTTCCTCAAGTTGATAATTAACAAGGTTGGGTGGGTGATGTAGTCCAGAGAAACACTTCCCCATGGGTGGCTGAGATGACTCATCTTCATTTTCCAGCTGGGTGAAAAGAGTACCCAAGAAGAAAATAAATGAGGATCTGGTAAAGTCTGAAACACTGAAGAGCACAATTAGCGGGACCAAAGGCATGATAGACTGGAGGTCATTAGAAAGTTATCTGTGAGAAATGCCTCTGAATTAAGAGGCTGGAGGATAATGGTGGAAGTTGTCCACAGGTAGCTAACAAGAGAAAAACAAGGATTGTGTAGAAACTGCTCTTTTTCCCTTTCTACCTCTTGCTGTTGTTGTTGCCTGTTCCATGCATTCTGTGGCTTTTTCCTAGCTGTGAGCTGAGAGATCCTTTCTCCAGGTTGGTTGGTGGAGTGGTCTTGCTGATGCCTTAAATGGGTTTCACTGCAGGATAAATTTTGGCCCTAACCCTCCTCCAATGCTAAGAATTTAGCTCAGAGAAAAACTCAGAGTAAAGAAAGCCTTCTTCTAGACTCTATGGGAAAGCAACTATGAAAAGGAGAGAAGGCTCAGAATAGTTAGAAACTCCTGCCAAATTCTGATTTAGTTTGTTGCCCTGCCTCTTGAAAGAACCTGCAGTTCTGGACCCATGAGTGAATACTGAGTTTGAGGAGCATCTGTCACTGAGGTAAAACTTGTACCTAGAAGCCCAACCTGGGCCTAATCTGGTTGGTGGTCCACAGAAGACCTAGCTGTGGTGCACCAGGATATGTTCAACAATGTACTCTGGGATGGGAGTGTGGGACAAAGGGGAGATGATGGGGTGAGCCTGGATTTGTAGCATTTTCCAATTTCTGAGGTGCAACTATTCCCACTGTGGCTGATTTCCAGCTGCCAACATGAAGTCAGGGATCCTGTGAAGCTAAAGAGCAATATCACAATCAGCTCTTACAAATTCATAGGAATTGGCTACAGCAGGCTTTTGTGCTAAGGACTTCGTGGTTTGAAGTAAAGCAACAGACAAACCAAGGCCTCTATTATTCAGGTCTTTGTCCTGGATTTGAACTCACAGTCAATTCTGGGTGTTTTGGAGTTCTGTTCCCCTATAAGGTAGTCACTCAGCCCAATCTCCTTGTGGACCCTCACATTCACAGGACATTTTTTGTTTAAAGATGACAGAGGCAGTGCATGCCTACAGTCCCAGCGTATGGGAGCCTGGGGCAGGAGGATCACTGCAAATTTGAGGCTAGCCTGGTTACAAAGTGAGCACAATGCCAGTGTAACCTGTATAGTGAGATCCTGTCTAAAAAGAAAGAAAGAAAAAAAAAAAAGATGGGCTAGTTATATAGTTCAGTGGCACAAGTGCCTGCCTAGCAAGCATGAGGTCTTGAGTTCAATCCCTGGTATCATCAAAAACAAAACAAAACAAAACAAAAAAAACCAAACATATCAGGCAGCATGGTGGCAACTGCCTATAATCCTAACACTCTTTGGCCATGTGTGGGCTGACTGAGAGGGGAGTCAGATGCAAGTTCTCTGAGTCTGTGCCATTCATGGACTGTGGGGCAAGAGAGCAAGAAGTCAATACAAAGCTAAGATCTCCTGTGAGTCAGCACCATGTGCAGGCTGATTAGGGAACAGCCAGATGCCAGCCCCTCCTGGAGTGTGGGCAGGAAGACGCGAAGAAACAAGTGCTCAGGCTTGCCTCGGGGCCCAGGGTATCAGGCCTGGGCTGAGTGAAGAAAGTCCAGGGCTGTGGTGCAGGAACTTTGTATCCAAGGGAGCTGGAGGGAGGGATAAGGGAGTATTGGCGCAGGCAGCAGCTGACTGTGTGGTCACATGGCTGACAAGGGAGTGCCAGCCAACAGTAGCCTGGTGGAAGCCGGTGGAGACCAAGAGAAACCGGGGTGGGGTGGGTCAGGCTATGTTGGAGGTTCCCTAAACATCACAGCCTGGGCCCCTGCTCAGCTGGAACTAAGTTTGCTAAGTATCTACCTGTAAACTACTAAGAGGCAATGAGGAAGAACCTGAAGCTCAGAAGCAGCAGATCCTGAAAGTACATGCATCTGTGTGACTCTGTGTGTGTGTGTACTTGTGAGACTCGTAGGCCCTAGGAAGCCTGAATGTCCTCCTCCTCAAATCCAGACAATAACCTGTAGTGATGCCTTCAAAACAAAGGGCCACCCACATAGGCACATTGTGCACTGGCACATCTGCTCTGGAGTAGTGTACAGCGGCACATTTCTTTTAAAATGCATGTTAAGTAACAACCTTCCATTATATCCTGAGCCCCGTTCCTAAGAACTCTTACTCAAAGTGTCACTAACTATGGGACCAATTCAGGGGCCAAGTTCCTGAGTCTCTTAAGTTCAGGTGATGGTGGCTGCAGGATCCTGGGCCCCTCTCCTTGGGTCATAGGCATCCTAGAGGCAAGTGTGTGTCTACTTGGGATAATCAGATGGGTTGAGCCCTGAAAAGGCACTGCTCCAGGGGTCACAGCAGAAGCTGGGGGTGGGTAAGGACCATGCTGTCTAGGTGATTCAGCTCCAGATAGGGTCCCAGGGGCTGTGAACACTGTCCCTGCAGGGCAGTCTCCTAAGGTCGTCCCACCTCCACTTCACAGTTTTCTCTACCAGATCCCCAGTACTCACTCCTCTCTATCTCCATTCTCCTTGCCTCATCCAAAATCTCAAGAAGGGACTCCACTGTTGAATTACACACCTCCTCTCAGAACAGTGTCTGTTACCACGGGGTTGAGAGGTGATGCAGCGAGGCTGGTTAAGTAAGTGCCTGTCTGTCAGTGGTGTAACTGGTGTCCTCTCCTATGAGAATCAGAGGAAAGCTGGAAGAGCAGCCTGCCGACTCAGCTCGGTTCTGTTATCAGAAGCCAGGGAGGACAGGGGGCGGGGGTGGACAAAAAACAACTGATATTCATGACAGTAGCTCAGCAATTCTGAAGTTTCTGATCCAGAGATTAGTGGAAAAACAAAGAGGCCAGTCATGAGGTGGCAGGCGGGGTGGGGGGTGGGGAGTGGCACCGCCAGGGGAAGATACTGAGACAGAAGGGATGAAGCGGTGACAATGTTAGAGAACAGAGGTGTGAAAGTGGCCTTCGGTGAGGCTCATTTTAAGAACCAAGGTCAGGGGTTGGGGATTTAGCTCAGCGGCATAAGCACCTGCCTTGCAAGCAGGCAGTCGTGAGTTTGATCCCTGGTATTGATAAAAAGGAAAAAGACAAAAAAAAAAAAAAAAAAAAAGAAAAAAGAACCAAGGTCAGTTCTGCAGTTCACCAGAAACCTCCTCAAATTGGTGATGTGGGTGATTTTATGGAAATCATTTGTTTATATTTTAGAATTGGATGTGATTTGTGAATTATGTCTCTGGTGCTTATCTTTTTGTCTCACTCATCTACCTGCAGTGATGAATTTTATTTTTTCCAAAGAACACTAAGGAGCATTGGTACTGCCTCCTTATCTAGAACATTTATTCCACATGTATTCCTGAAATACAATTAAAGACAATTAGCTACAGTGCTAGAACACCCACTCTAACCCTTTACACTTTTATTTACTTGGCTGGTATTATTTTTTAAGATGTGCTCTCATGAAATTGACCAGGCTGGCCTTGAACTTGCAATTCTTCTGTCTCATCCTCCCAAGTAGCTGGGATTACAGGTGTGCACCACTGTGTTTGGCCTTATGACTTGTATTATTTTAGAGGATTTTCTTCTGACTATCAATGGGAGCTAGTGATATACCACTACCACCAGGTGTGGTGGCTCATGCCTATAATCCTCGACCTGGGGGGCGGAGGCGGAAGGACTGCCATGAGTTTGAGGTCAATTGGGGCTACTTAGTGAGTTGTCCTGAATTCAAGACCTTGTTTCAAATGAAATATTATAACACTACCAAATTTTTTTTTTTGTCTTTTTCCTTTTTATCGGTACCGGGGATTGAACTCACGACTGCCTGCTTGCAAGGCAGGCACTTATGCCGCTGAGCTAAATCTCCAGCCCCAACACTACCAAATTTTACATTATCAAAATCTATCAATTTCTGGATTTAGGTATCATTTTTTATAACATAAATTTTTAGAAATTCATGTTTAAAACTCTGGTTGTAGTACGGTGAGGATGGAAAGGTCCCACATGGGTACTGCAGCACATGCCTGCTGTCCCAGCTACTCAGAAGGCGAAGGTAAGGGGATTACTTGAGTCTAGGAGTGTGAGGCCAGTCTTACAACACAGCAAGACCATGTTTTGTTTTGTTTTTCAAATGAGAAGTCTGTTCTCATTTGGTTCATGATTTCAGAGGTTTCAACTCATGGTTGGCTGTCTCCACAGCGGCAACATCTTGGCAGAAAGCTATGGCAGAGGAAAACCACTCACTTCATGGTGTTCAGGAAGAGACAGAGACAGTGAGGGCCTGGGATATAGCTCAGCGGCATAAGTGCCTGCTTGGCAAGTACAAGGTCACAGGCGTGATTCCTGGGACCTAAAAATAAAATAAAAACTTTTTTACAAAAGGAAGAGACAAGTGAGAGAGAAAGGGGGTGAGGACAGAACATACCCTTCAAAGACAAGCTTCATGATGACCTTCTCCAACTTGGCCATACCTCCTAATAGTCCACTCAGCTAATTGATGGATTAATCTGTTGATGACATTAATGCCTCATGATTCAATCACTTCTTCACCCTTCACCTCTAAATATTGCTATTGGGATCTTGGCTTAGCCTCAATCTCCTAAATGAGTGGACAACAAATAGCTTAAATAGGAGACCTGATTTGGAGCTTCCAGGAAGGTCAGAACTCATTATCTCAGGAGATGCTGGGAACTGTTGAAGCTGGAAATTCACACCTATGGGAGCTGGCCAGCCTGGTCAGAGAACAAAGACTGGCTGGGGTGAGCCGCAGAAACAAGTGACTCTGGGCCCCAAAACTCAGGCCCTCGGGTTGCCATACATGCAGATTACTAGGCCATAGGGTGTCATGTGACCTTAAGTTGTTGAAGGTATAAATAAATGCCCCTACAATGAGGGAACAGTCCCTTTCTCCCATCAGGAGAAAGAAGTCTCTGCCTGACCCCAGCTTTTGTCTCCTTTATTTTTCTCATTGTCCCACCATCCTTCCCCCCGGAAAACATCTGGAGCTGTGCAGGTGGCGAAAAGGAACAAAGAAAAAGAGCACCACCAGACAGCTCATATTTATTTGGTTTTCAAACAAAGGAAGGGGATACTGAGGTTAGTGTGGGAACTGAGCAGGACCTTGGGAGTCATTTCAAAGACTTTTTCAAGTACTAAATTTTGCCGGTTAAGAGAACCATCTCATCTCTAAGGTTGGCAGCTTTATTGCTCTGGAATACAAGAATACAAGGACCTCAGCTGTGGTTATCCAGACCTTCAGAGCACCATGTATATGCTCTTTTCCAACACAGCCAGAGGTCTGTGTTCAGCCTGTTCTCCAACACATTGCTATAGCAGGAATGAAGCCCTCAGTACATAATGCTTTGGGGTGGGGTACTTCTAGGGAGATTAAATCACAGTGTTGGAAAATTGGGGTGTGCAGTAAGGAGGACCCAGATGCAACTCCCAGCTTTGCCTCAGCTTCTGTAGCTGTAAAATGGGAATAATGGCCTGCTTTATAGCATGGATGTGTGATTTGGGGAAATTTACAGACACAGTGTACTCACCTGTAAACTGAGGCTATTAATAGTATCTATGAAGTAAAGGAGGTGATATAAATGTTTACATAATACCTGGAGAGTTGTCATTTTGAGTAGCAGCTGTCACATTTTTCATAGTAATTGGACTGCAGTAGAATAGCCCCGCTCAAAATAGGCATTCTGGGCCAGCTTGTTTTCACGTATAGACTCTAGATTCAGCTCCTTCATTAGCAGTGCTCTTTGTCTTTCTCTTTCTCCTCCCTGCTTCTTTTTCTTGTGGTATGAGGAATTGAATTTGTACTGAGCTACATCTAAATTTTGAGAGAGTCTAGCTAAGTCTCCAAGATGCCCAGGCTGGGTCTGAATTTATAACTTTCCAGCCTCACCGCTAGGAGTGCTTGGTCCCCACAGTCAGCTTCTTTTCCACTATTGGCCACGCAGGACATGAACAGTTACGTAGTGCCAAAACTGTACATTCCAGCTATCCCAGTCTGTAAGGATGCTTTAAGAGCAATGTCAATTGCTGCTACCTGGGACCTGACATTTCTCAGCTTTTACCCTTCTTCTTTCCCTTCCCTTCTGCATTTGACCAGACTGCCCTGCTCTGGAAGCACAAGGATGCAGGTAGGAAAGGGCTTTCAGGAAGCTAGAAGACTTCCATGCCTGAAGGCCAGGCACATCTCCCCAGGGGAGCCAGTTGGGGCCCTGGTTTTCATCAGTGTCCTTCATAATTGTGCATACATCATTGCAGCTGTGGATGCTGGTCCAACAGAGGGCACCCTGTTTCACAGGAGTTGCACAGCCACTCCAAACTGTGCAGGCAGGTGTGAGTCGTATCTCCCCCTGCCCAGGGCTGTTCCTCTGGTCCTGCTATAGGGAATCCAAGAGGCCAAAAGCTCCTCACCCAGGGGCAGTGTGAAGTGCTCGGAGGCTCGGACTAGTGCTGCGCTCTCCCCATCAGCTTACTGTGGAGACTGCACTGAGCCTAGCTTTTCTTTCACAGTTATGGCCGCCTAGCTTTCTTGGGATGGGGCAAGAGGGAAACAAGGGCCACCTGGGTGCTCCCAGCAGGTAGGCAGGCCCAGGTTCCCACCGCTGCAATGGTGACACTGCTCTTCAGCTGTGGCCACATGGGTGACTACTTCTTGCATGCAGACTCTGTCACTCAAAGGGCTGAAGAGGAGCCACCTCATGGACCTGTCTCCCAAACTCTCTGCCTTTTGCCCACTGCTCCTGCCTTTTCTTGTCCTGCTCCTTCCCTCTACCTCTCACCTATACCAGTTAGGACTTCCAGACACGTTTCAAAACTGATTCCTGGGCTCTCTGACCTTTCCTTCTTAGAAAGATCCTAGGATCCTAGTACAGATTGTTCCCATTTTGCCACTGCAGTTACTCTTGGGACCCTCTTGTGGCGGATAAACAGAATGTGTGTGTGAAAGGTGAAAAAAGTATGACATAGGTCCACCTGTCCCTCTGCCGGCCTGACAGGATTTCACTATGGAGACAGAAATGGCAGCATAACTAGAAGAGGCTGAATCTGTGGGGAAAATGTTTTGAAGTATTTATTCATGAGCCACTTCTCCGTGATCATATGACAAGCTTATGATCTGTAAATTCCTTGACTGAAGGTACACTTAATTTTTTTCTATGACAGGGATAAAATCCAAGCCCCTACCCACACTAGGCATGGATTCTTCCACAGAGCTATATTCTCAGCCCACTTTTTAATATTTTAATGACCAAAAACATAACACAGCTCTCAAACACAGTTTGAGGGTTCAAAAGTGTGCGGATCTAATCCCAAACCAAGGTAGGTAGAAATAATAGTGCAATGACAGTAAACAAGTGCATGGAGTCAGTGGAAATCACGCTGAGGAAAAACAAGAAGCTCACGGTATGCAGGCTAGGAGACAAGAACACTCCCTTCCCCTGCACCACCTATAAGCAACCTGCTGATTCAGAGGATAGGCTGAGTTGATAGCAACTGAGGTACAAAAACAATTTAATGCTTGCACTGTTTGACTGACTTTGCAGGCCTAGGGTTGGGAGTCTGGGCATGTATTAAGAAGGTAGTAATATGCAATACAGCAAATATGGAGAATTTCCTTTTTGTCTTGTTTTTGACATCCAGTATTATTGTTTTGTTTTATTCAGTGTTTTGTTTTGATTGGTTTTATTCTGTTCTATTTGATTTTATTATGTCTGATAGTTGTGGGCAGCAATTTTGAAGGAACAAGAGACATGGTAGCCATTATTGACTTCGTATTAATCCTATTTTGAAGTCCTGTATCACTTTCAATGTTTTGTTTTGATTGGCTTTATTCTGTTCCATTTTGTTTGGCTTTATTCTCTTTAAAATATACTATGGTTTCTGCTTCTTGTATGGTTGAGTGTGACTCCCCAAAGGCTAGTGTACTAGGAATTTGGTCCCTGGCGTGTCAGTGAGAGGTGGTCAGGATCTACAGGAGTTGGAGCGTGAGCTGAGTGTAGTGGTATACACTTCTCTGGGAGGCTGAGGTAGAAAGAATGCAAGTTTGAGTCTAGTCTGGGCAACTTAGGGAGACCTTGTATCAAAATAAATAAATAATAATACAAGAGGCTGCTGAAGGCCGAGTTCAATTCCCAGAGGTAGAGCCTCAAAAAAGGTCATTGGGATGGATGCTTTAATGTAAATCTCAGGGTAAATTAATTCCCTTGAGAGCACAATGTCATAAAAAGGGCAAGACTGGCCCCTCCTCACCCTCCATTTCCAGTGTAGCCCTGTGGCAATCTCATATGTGCTCCCCGAATTGTGATGTCATCAGCATGTGGCCCTCACCAGAGTTCAGTAGATTCCTGAACCTCCAGAACTGGGGCTACATAAACCTCTTTTCTTTACACATTACTCAGCCTCAGACATTTTGCTGTAGTAATAGAAAGCAAATAAATACATTGTGTAAGAATCGCATATTCATGTACTCACTGCGCATTTCAGGCTGTCTGAACTTACTATGTAGCCCACTTTGGCCTTGAACTCATGGCAACCTTCCTGCTTTAGCCTCCCCAGTGCTGAGATTATAGGTGTGCACTTCCACACTGGGCACTAGTAGTATTTTATTTTTTATTTTTTTTACTGGCACCAGGGATCGAACTCACGACCATGTGCTTTCAAGGCAGGCACTTATGCCGCTGAGCTAAATCCCCAGCCCCTACTAGTAGTATTCTAAATGAGATCAGTGAAATAGAGTATCATTTTTATTTTTATTACTCTATGTTTGCAGTACATCATTATATTTATCATAAGTTGATACATGTACTTAATATATCTTAACTTTTTGTGTCTCACCCCTCATCCCTCTCTGCTCCATCTCTAGGTTCCCTTCCCATTTGAAAAAGATCTCCCAATTTCCTACCAATATAGGGAGATGCTAGATATCAGACACACCAAGTTTGTGTTCCCTAAAGTCAAAGAATGAATTATAAGGAACTAGGAGATTAAGATTACAAGTATAGTTGCTTAGGTAAACTGATCTAAGGTACACAGGTGACATCTTTAACCTTGGTCAATAATCTAGTCTGAGCTTTGTCTTTAGTTTTTGTAGTCTTAATGGTTTTAGTCTTAGTAGGTGGGAGAGGATGGTCCACTCCTAATGAGATAATGGGAAATCTCAAATAGGTGATAGCAATAATCTCAAGTCTCTGTTCATCCTTTAGGGAGCTATGTAAAGCTAGCTATTGTAACTTTAGTCTTCTGCAGATGTGCTTCCAGCCAGTTTCCATGTGTTCTCAACTTCTGCACTGACTCCCAAGAGCCCAGCCTTGACTGCCTACTATATTTCTACTTAGTTGTCTATAATACTACTATCATTTATTTTGCTCTTGACTTACATTTTGGGTTTCTCATACAAGAAAGATACTTAACTATGCTTGTGTCTGATTTATTTCACTTAACATTATTTACTTGAGGTGCCTCAAGCCATCTAGCAGGTTGGAAGTTTTATATCCCCTATATCATTTGGAGGGTCTATTTCACTCCTATATCACCTACAAAGAAATATTTGAGTCAAATGGAAATTTTGTTTGGTTTAGTTTTGTGAGACAGTCTTCCTGTGCAGTGCAGGCTGGCTTGGAACTCACCATGTAGCCCAGGCTGGCCACAAACTCACAGCGATCCTCCAGCCTCAGCCTCTTGAATGCTGGGATAATGGACTACTGCCACTGTGCCCAGCTGTTTTCAGTTTTTTTTTTGAGCAAGGAGGATCTCCATGCTAATTTCCATAGTGATTGTACTAGTTTACAGTCCCACCAACAAAAAGCAGAGATATTCTGCCCTCCTGTGAGCTTCCCCAGGATTTGTTACTGATTTCTTAATGAAAATGTTAATCACTGTTTTATCCTTATAGCAGGGTAAAAGACTCTGGATAGTATGCATGTTCTGCCAATTTCTTATATTTATTTGTATTTGCATTTTTAGTATTGCTGGGAGTGGTAGTGCAAGCCTGGAATTCCAGATAACTTCTAAGACTGAGGCAGGACTGTTGTAAGTTTAAGGCCAGTCTGATTAACTCAGCAAGATTCTCTCTCTCAAAATGGTGCATTAAGATGAAATTCAAATACTTAAAAGTGTATAGTACATTTTTGGTATATCACAAGAAACTTTTTTAAAGTTGTAACAAAATATACATATAACAAAATCAGTTGTTTTAGTTTTAACAGTTCAGTAGCATTAATTATATTCACAATATTGTAGAACCTTTTTATTTCTTGTTGTGATCTCAAATTCTGTATCTATGAAAAAATAACTCCCCATTCTTCTATCTCCTGCCCTGTAATTTCCAGTTTCTGTCTCTTATGAATTTGCGTAGTCTTAAATTTTTTTTATTTTAAAGAGAATACAGTTAAAATGGTATACAGCTTCAAAACAGGATAACAGGAAATCAACAATGCCTACCATAATATCTTATTTTCACAATAGTCGTCCATACCATCAGACATAGTAAAATCAAACAAAACTGAATAAAACCAATCAAAACAGAACATTAAATAAAACAATAAATTGGGACAAAACAGTGAGAACAATCTTGGATTTTAAAAACAGGACACAAGGAAATTCCTCATATTTGCTGTATTACATAGTTATCTTGCTAACGGATGCTCAGACTACTGGCCTTAGGCCTGCAAAGTCAATGAGACAATACAAGCATTTAGTTGTTTTTACATCTCAGTTTCTATCAACACAGTCTGTCCTCTGAACTGGCTGGTTGTTTGGGGGTGGGGAAAAGTCAGCTCATGGGAAGGGCGAACTGGCTTCCCTCTTCTTGGGCTACTGCATGGTTTGCCCTTAGATGTTTTATGTAAGTAGTATTATATTCTATTTGTCCACTTATGTCTGTTCATTTCATTTAGCACACTTGTCTCAAGGTTCACATGTGTTGTAGCACATAGTGAAATTTCACACAACTCTTATGGCTATGTAATATATCTATGTCTACTTTGCACTAAGCCACATTCCCAATCCTTTTTATTTTTTATGTATTTTTATCTTTTTGAGACAGGGTCGCTATGCAGTTCAGGCTGGCCTTGAGCTCACTTTGTAGCCAGGCTGGTCTCGAACTCACAACGATCCTCCTGCCTCAGCCTGCCAGAGTGCTGGAATTAGAGATGCATCACATGTGGGTGACTGATTTATTTTTAAGTAGAACTGCTTCTTTTGGTGGGATAAAGGGTTAGGGATTTAGCTCAGTGGCCTAAGTGCCCGCCTGGCAAGCACAACATTGTGAGTTCAACCTCTGGTACCCAAAAAAAAGTGCTTGCATTGGTGGGATAAATTTCCCTGGTCAGTGTAAAATCTTAAAAATGTACCACTGGATTTAGTTTGTTAGTGGTCTTCTAAATACTTCTGTAATTATATGCATAAAGAAAATTGGTCTGTGGGGGTTTTTTTTCCTCTTGTGGCAACTCTGTCTGCAGACTACCTAATTTTACATCTCTTAAGGAACCAATTCTGTAACCTTGAACTTGTCATAGTATTACTAGACCAAGAATACTATCAACAGAAATATTTTTAAAAATTAAAAAAATTTAAGCATGAGAACATGAAATCTGTAAGTTATCTTCAATGACTTAAATTTTGGTCTATTTTTACCTCAGAGATCTCAAACACTTGGCACTGAAAAATATATCTGGCTAGGGTTCAACAGTAGCCAACTATTAAGTAGAATAATAAGTTGGCCTCAAACTCCCCAGGAGGAAAGATCGAGGGTTCTGAGAAGGTAGTGGGTGGTGGAGCATAAGAACTGGAGAATGAGTTTCCTTAATACACAAAAGATCTTAATTTCATTCTCTTGTTTAAAAAAAAGTCTATTTTGGGGGTCCGGGGGTAAACCTGAGCTAAAGCTCAGTGGTACAAGCACTTGCCAGGCAAGTGCCAGGTCATGAATTTGATCCCCAGTACAAAAAAAAAAAAAAATCTATTTTTTAATTCTTTCCAATTATGTGTTTCTGTACATAATTCTTAAAATTGTGCTTCTCAGACATTTAGAAATCTGGAAATAAAAGCAAAAATTTACTGTCTAGTTGTTTGTACAAATGTGGTTTAGGACCAACCAGATCAGTCCTATCTTCATTCACAATGGTGTTTACCAGCCAGTGTACAACGGGAAAGCAGGCAGCGAGAAGTCGCACAGCCAGTGGAGGGGAGCTGCCCACAGGTCTGACTGCACCTTCCCACCCTTTCCAACTGTGCAGCCACCTTTTGTATTTGTCAGAATACAATCCAGTGAAGGCAAGATGTCAAGGGGAAGCCCTGAATCTGTGCCAAAGCAGGGAATCCTGTGTTAACAGCAACTGAGATTTTCCCTTCATTGATCTTATATAGAACCTCAAGATCTGCAGTGCACCCTCGATGGGATCAACCAGTGTGAGAACCGAAACTGGGAAAGTGGGTAGGAAAGGAGGAAAAGTACGAAAGGAGCTGTACCTCTGAAGAGCACACTTAGCAGGAAGAAAAGTAGTCATCAGGTTCTTAGGCTTGGGTAGAGGTCTAGTGCTCTCTAGCTGTTCTGCAGTACTATTCAGATACCTAAAACACAGGGTAAAGGGTCAATGTCTGAACTTCCTCTTAGTTGACTGAACCTACATAGCAGCGGTAGCTTTTTCCTTCAGTTTCACAATTTTTTAAAAAACATGGCCAGTTTCTATGAAAAGAAAGCTATGAGATACAATTATCTTAAGCACTCACTGTCTCTGACATTTCAGGATTACTTGAAAGGAAAAGTGGGAATAAACAGTTGTCAGAGCTGTGAGCCCAGTTCTCTTGAACCACTTCCCCAAGCTTTCTGAGTCTCCAAGGAAAAGGAACTGACAGCTCTGCCTGTGGGGGGCGCTCTATGTGCCGGGCCTTTTCTGCAGCTTGTGAGCTGCTCTGGACAGTTTGCAGGACCCAGATCTTCCTCTGGCTTGGGCATGTTAGTATCATGTAGTTCTACAGCATGTCAGCTGATCTGGCTGTAGGATGACTGGTTAAGTAAAAAGAAGCTATCCCAAAGTTAATAGTGTTGGCTGTAAGAGACTGTCAATATGTAACCATTTTGACTTTTGAAAATGGCAATTTCAAATGATTCAGCTTAAACCTTCAATAAAGGAAAGGCAAGAAACTAAAGTCCAAAGAATCCACTACCTGCAGTAGGAAGCATAACATGTTCAGAACATTAATCTCCCAAGTTTAGTCACTTTTATGGGCTGAATTGCGTTCCCAACTTCAAAATGAACAGGTGCAACACTAATTTACAGTACTTCATAACGTGACCTTATTTGGAAACAGGGTCTTTACAGAGATAATTGAGTTAAAGTGAAGTAATTCCGGTAGGCTCTATCAACAGGCTGGTGTCCTTACAAAACAGGGAAATTAAGACAGAGATGAAGGCACCCACAGAGGGAAGTCAATGTAAAAACACGGAGAACTGTGCTGCTCCTACAAGCCAAGGAATCTGTTAGGGAGGAGTCTTGAAACAGTTTTCTCTTATACCTTCAAAAGGGGCATGGCACCTCATTAATATCTTAATTGTGGACTTGTGGTCTCCAGAACTGTGAGACGCTGGACGATGAGTTATTGTTCGCTGAAAATAACACATTGTTTGAGGTATTTTGTTACACAGCTAGGAAAACAAAGGCTGCTTCCAGTGATGACAAACTATTCCACTGGTAAAATACAACAGTAAAACCTATGTTAAAAAGGGTACAGTGGTTTAATCCCTAGAACTCTAGGCAGGATACCTGAGGTATCCATTCTTTTTTTTTTTGGTGGCTCTGGGGATCAAACTCATGACCTTGCGCTTGCCAGGCAGGCCACTGAGCTAAACCCCCAACTGAGGTATCCATTCTTTTTTTTTTTTTTGTCTTTTTCGTTTTTATCGGTACCAGGGATTGAACTCACGACTGCACACTTGCAAGGAAGGCGCTTATGCCGCTGAGCTAAATCCCCAGCCCGAGGTATCCATTCTTATAGAAGAAAGCTGTTCTTCCTACCCTGGTCCAGATTTGTTTGTTCAGATACAACAAGGATGGCTTTGTAATTTACAATGTATGTTCATATGCACACATATGTACATCTATACACAACCCCACATATTTCTTCCTTCTTTGGTTTTCTTGCATTTCCAAGTTTGCAGTGTAAATTTCAGCATAGATTTTTTTCTGCAGTCTGAGGTAGGCAAATGCCATGGTGTATAACTTTAAGGAGCCTATTTGAACTTTAGGAGAACACAGTTATACTAAGGAGTTACAGAGAAATGACGACACTCACACAGGGAGGATTTCTTGTGAAAAGGTTAGGTGGAAAGGGAGCTTCGGGTGTGGTGCTCCGAAAGCAGCTCAGAAGGTCAGTGTCAGGTTTTCTCGGGGCAGCAACAGCGTGAGCAGCACAGGAGTGGGGACACCTCCTCTTCTGGAGAAGGGAAGCTCATACAATGAGGTAGAATTTACCAGAACTCTTCTAAGTCAGCTTTTTATTAGGATCCAAGGTTATAAATAAGCCTAAACAAAACAAGAGGATAATTATAAGTCAGCTGACTTCAATCTGATGAGATGACTAATAGAAACATACAAAGGAAGGCATTTATATTCACATTCATGCCTTTAGCCTCTCTGCCTACTTTGATTTTTCAGCTAAACTAAGAATCAACTTCTGGATGTCACAATTCCCCATATAACCAGGTCCTCTACTACTTGGCCATTTTATGGTTCATTATCATTTTCATTAGAGATAGCTAGGGAAATGAAAAGAAGTAAAATTACAACTGAGCCATCTGGTACCTTCATGATAGAGAAAGGTTTAGTCAGGAATGACCAGGTACACCATGGAATGGAGTTATAAATTGATTGGATTCAAATTACTCACAATCTTTTGCATACTCCTTTATCTATCATTCCTGTAAACAGATGATACTTGGGTGAAAAATTTCTTACAAGACACAAAAAATATTAACCATAAAGAGCAAAACAGATAAGTGTAACTACATTAATATTTAAAAAACAGCTGTTCATAAAAAAGATAACTTGAAGCAAACAAAATAACTTACACACTGGAAAGAGATATGTGCCATATATAGAGACAGGGATCTATCTACATTGATATATATCCAACAAAAGGATTAATGTAACATGAAATATAAAAAGAATCCTTATAAATCAGTAAGAAAATGAAAAAAAAACCGCTGAAAAAGCAAACAAGAACTTCACATAATGGAAAAAAAAATATGATCAGTAAACATATAAAGAGATGCTCAATTAATTTTAACCAGGAAACAACAAACCAACATTATACTCAGAAACCATTTGAAAACCATTTAATTGGCAAAAATCAAGAGGTCTGACTTTACCAACTGTTACAGAAGATAGAGAACAGAAGAATGATACAGCTTTGGAAAACAGTTTAGTGTTCCCTTATGAATCTCAATGTCTACATACTCTACGACCAGAAATTCTGCTTCTTAGTTGCCAGTGATATTGAGCCTTTCAGAAATAAGTGCCCAAACTGCAACCCAAAACATATTTATTGCACGGTGGCAACACTGCAATTAAACCTGAATCCTGAAGTTTTACGTTAGAAGAAATGACTTATACATTAATATATTTTTTCTTAAAAGAAAAATAACACTTGTGCCATAGATCTGCCACTACTGGTATATGGCAAGCTGTTGCCATGCACAGCATTGGGAGACATGACCCAGGGAAATGTTTAGAGCAGCCCCTCACAACGGCCAGAAACCCATCAGAAGAGTTCAATTCATCATGGTGAAGTCATAACAGAAAGCGTTAGCAAAAAAAGGAGTGAACTACACAGCCAACAACAAGGATTAACTGTTGCAACATGGAGCTAAGTGAAAGTAACGAATCAAGCCCCAGAAAAGCACATACAGTATGTTTGCTATAAAGTTCAAAACCAACTGAACAACATATTCCTTAGGTATATTCTTGATGAAAAATTTTAGATAAGTACAAGAAACCTGGACTGGGGATATAGCTTAGTGGCACAGAATCTGCTGGCAAGTGCAAGGTCCCGAGTTTGATTCCCAGTACCAAAACAAACAGAAAGAAAGAAAAAACATAAGAACACACAAAAAAATGAAAAGCACAAAACTAGATCAGAATGACCTTAAGCAGGACCAGACAGAAATAACATTGAGGGATAAAGTATTATCTAAGAGTTTGGTTCCTATTATTAAATTTAAAAAATAAACTGTTAAATGAGTAAATAAAAGATGATCATTCATGTACCAGTGATGACCAGCATGTCCTAAATCAAGGATTATGATTAATCTAAACATGTATACCCGAGGTCTTTTAAAATAAGAGAGAATAAAAATCCCTCCCGGATGTCCAGCCTGTCCAAACCGATGCTGGGGAAGGAATGGCTTCAAGGGTGACTCACTTGCAAAGGCCATGGTTGAACTAGGAGTTGTACAGTGCAGCAGGCTGCACTCAGAGAGCATTTCTGTGTTGGATCTCCGGCAAACTGCTATTGAGATCTCAGAAGGACCTGGCAGCTCTAATGGCAGTAATATACTGTCATTTTGTTTCCTCACTGGAAGGTTTAACTTTGAATACTTTTTCTTAAATTTGGCCATATGAAATCTAGCTTGTGATTCATGGACTGCTGGGAGTGGCCAGGGGCCTTCCTGGAAAGCAGCACCATGGGTGGAGTGGGGAGACCACACCTACGCTTCTCTCCATGAGTCTTTGTCATTTGTGGACTGAAGAGGAGAGAACCAGGGACCTCGCCAGGAAGCGATCCTAGCTGGGAAACCATGTAATTTTCATTGTTCTTTTGGGTTGGGTTTTATTCTCTTTTGTTTATGTTAAATCTGATGGCAGGAGCAGCTATTTGAAAGATAACAAGACATACTATGTAGCCATTTTGGATTTACTATTGGCTTGTTTTGAAGCGCATTATTATATTCACTGTTTTGGCTTTATTGTTTCTATTATATTCTGATCTGTTTGATTTTTATATGTCAGAAAGTCAGCTATTTTGAAGACAACAAAAGGTGTTATGGTAACTATTGTGGGTTTCCTAAGGTTTTGAAGTCCTGTATTACTTACGCTGGTTTATTGTTTTATTTTCCTTGGCTTTGTCCTCTTTAAAATTTAAAAAAAAAAAAAAAAAAAATCTAGCTTGTCCTCGTAGTTCATTCACACAATGGCTTTCTAAAAGGTACAGTGGAATCTCCCTCCCAATCTGCTTGCTCCCTTCCCAGGAGAAACAAGTCACGTACATCATCTTCATGAGACAGTGCGCATGTGCAGGCATGTGCACACATTTTCCCTTCATTGCTTATTACTTTTTATGTTGAAACAGTTTCAAGCTTACAGAAGAGTGTGAGGCTAGTACAAAGACACATTTCTCCTTGACAGCTGGAGAGTAATTTGGTAAACTGTGTGTAAAACAAGTTTCTTGTTATAGTACAATTTCCAAGAACAAAAGATTGGGAAAACACACACACCCAATGTCTCCAGTTCCATGCAGTCACAAGATTCATTCTATTTTCTCTATTTCCATACTTGTAACTGACTTTGACAGAACCTGGCCCTCATCACTGCTGCCAGCCCCTAGATGTCACCCTCACTCTGCCTGCCTCACTAACCCTATGCCACTCTCCTTGGGACACCTTCTTTACTTTCCTTGCGCTCCAACACCCCGTGTGGGAGGCCCCCCTCTCCCTCTCCATTCAGATGCTGACACTGCCCTGGCCACTACAGCCACCTGCCCCAGGCCTTCATCATGAACACACTTCCTACTGGCTCTTGGAATAAATTATTATGAAAGGAGGGAAGATGCAAGGGAAAGAGGAAAAAAGGAAAGAAACAAGAACCTTTTACTTATTTCTATATTAGTGGTAATATTATATTTACATCTTGCATCTTGTTTTTCATTCAATATATGTAATGAAATAGCTTCATATTAAAGAGCTTCCTTATTCTTACCTATGGCATCACAATATTCCAGTGTTTTCTATGGCACACAAAAAATATATACTCTTTAACCAATTTCCTACTGAGGGATAACTATATTTTGCAAATTCTTTGCTACTGAAAGTAATAATGGAATGTACAAATACAGGAACTGTAAGGCAAATGCACTGTAGTTTGTTCACATATTAATACATATACTGGTGAGATACAGTCCTGGAAGTGGGCCAAAGCACACATAATTCTGTAATTTCTTTTTTCTTTTTGTATTTTTACCGGTATCAGGGATTGAACTCATGACCGCACGCTTGCAAGGCAGGTGCTTATGTCACTGAGCTAAATCCCCAGCCCCAATTTCTTTTTTTAAACAAGGCTTTGCTACATAGTCTAAGGTGGCCTTGAACTTCAGGTGATGTTGGAATTCAGCCTCCTGAGTGCTGGGATTACACATGGGCACCTCCACATCTAGCATAACTTTGTAATTTTGACAGATATTGATAGTCCTTTACAGCAATGTACAGTATACGTTTTGACTTGTTCTGTGAATAACAGGTAATTAAGAATTTCTGGGGCTCAGGGACATGGCTCAATGGCACAGTGTCTGCCTGGCAAGTACAAGGTCATGTCAATTCCTGGTACAAACAAACAAAGAATTTCTAGGTACATGTGGATTATGAAACCAAAGCAAAGAAAATACCCCCTCAAAAAGAATAGCAGCTCCATACCTGTTGCCTCTGAATATAAGGTCTCCTCCTTTACACTTCTAACATCACAGGAAACAAAAACTTTCCTTCCTTCAACTTTATCAAGTTGGCTATTTATCACAACAACAGAACGAAGAGGAATAGGTCTGCAGAAATGGGGAAAAAAAGGAAAAAAAAAATTAGTTTTCATAGTTATGTAACACGGAGAGATGATCAAGTACATGATGAAGGTGAAAATCTATGATACTTGGTATCAGTGAGTAATGATTCCCTGAGATAAAACCTCCCTCACAGGCTCACCAAGTCTCCTGTCTCTTGTTCCCCCACCCCAGCACCACTGCTCTCTTCACGCTGCAGCACAGATGATTGAAAGTTCCAAGCTGCCCTGCGGGGCTGCATTCAGAGAGCTACAAGAATTCCAGCTCTGTGATGGCAGGGACTGTCCCACTGGAAATCCAGAGCAAAGTCTGAAGGAAGCTGAAATCCTATCAAGAAGGTAAAACAGAGCCTTGGGATGGTCTTCCATCTGCTTCTTCCATTCTTCTGTCATAATCAAAACTTCTCACCAATTTCTTTGGAGCAAGTCACTAGAAAGACTTTTACAACAAGCTGCTGATAACAGTTTACTATTCTAAGCCCATGCTGTCCAGTAGAAATTTCTGTCTGAGCTATCCAACATGGTACCCCATATAGTTACTGAGCACTTAAAACATGGCTAGCACGAATGAGAAATCCAATCTTTAAATTTATGTAATTTTGACTAATTTCTATTTAAATAGCTACATGTGACTGGTGGCTACAGTCACTTTTGGGAATCCAGATATATAGGGCCACAATGAGAAAGGTATCGCTAATGGTGAGATTTCAGCTGGTAGAGACTTAAAGCAGGGCATGGAAATGTGTTTTCTGCTTCTATAGTGCCACCGTGTGGGACAAATGAACTACTTCAGGTAGAAAATACCTCTGCTGTGATTTAAAAATTGAGATTATCATGAATAACTTTACATCCATATTTTTCAAAAATTAGAGGTAATAGAAAATATTTTTAAAATATGATTAAAATTACAGTAAAGGATTAGAAAGCCTGAATAGCTAGACACTGAGGCTCTAACAGAAAAGCTACACTCATGAAGGGACCAGATCTCAATTTATTTGCTTTCTGTTTCTTCTTTCATCCTCTTGTCTATTGGGATTATTTTCTTTCTCTTTCTGAAAAACTCTCCAGTTTTGTTTAAATGAAAACACCTTTACTTTGCCTTTGAACGTCAGTTTGCTGAGGAAATGACTTTAGATTTGCCATGTTTCTTTCAGCATCTTAAACTTTATTATCTTTTAGCTTCTGCAGTTGTTACTGGGAGGATTATTGCTAGTATAACAGTGCCTTCTTGCTTCTGAAAATACAGGTCCCTATCAGGTGTCTCTAATGCACTGTTTGTAAGATCTTTTTATCTATAATATTTGCATTTTTCTATATCTTCTCATGTAACTTTATATATCCTGCTTGACATTTATTATGCTTTGTGTATCTGTGGATTTATGATTTTCTTTAGTTCTAGAATATGCTCACCCATTGTACCTTCAGATACTGTCTCTTCCATTCTCTCTATTCTATTCTGTTGTGTTGTGTTCTGTTCTATTCTATTCTATTATTCTAAGATACTAAATAAAGAACATTATAATACTAGTGTCCACAAACAAAAACTGTGTGTAATGATAGACTCTTCCAGGCTCATGGTTACAAGACAGTTATATAACTGCTCTGTGAGTTAGGTGTGCCTAAACACAGGCCGTTCAGGAGGTGACACTGTAGACACTGCTTGCTTGTGAGCGGCATCTGTAGACAAGCACCTTTTATTTGATAAAAATTTGTTTCTATCATGGAATGTTTTACAACTGGGTAAGGGTAACCTGTTGTAAGTTATTTTATACTAAAATGAAACTTAAATATATTATTTCAGAGTTAATAAATGCTATATATATTCTTTTTTTTGGCACTGGAAATCAAACTCAAGACCAAATAGTTTTATAATGCTCGCCCATTATATCTTCAAATACTGAGTCTCTTCCATTTAACTGGCAGAGAAAAATACTAGGGGAACTAAAGTCATGACCTCAGCAAACTATGTAAGCATCATACCACTGAGCTGTAATTCCAGCCCTATTATTTTTTTTAAGGAGAAAGAAATGAAAATTTCAAAATAAGTAACAATGGTTAACATGTTGCCTATTATTAAATTACTTGGAGTACAAGATACAGACATTTAGTTGTCTAAACCCATATTAGCACAAACCTTTTTCAATGAACTAAAAGAAATCTAACTATATATATTAATTATTATATAATATATATAATAATATTATATATATATAATTATTCTTTGCTTTCCTTTCCTTTTCTCCTTCCTACATCCTAGTTTCTCTTTCTTTTTGAACAGTTTCTTCCCATTTTACAGTACCTATTGTACACTCTGGATCTTATTTAATCTTTCAGCCTCTCACACTAGGAAGACAATACAATGTTTACACACTTGAGTCTGGTTTATTTCACTTAGAAGCATGATCTCTAGTTGCATCCATTTATCTATAAAAGGCTCCAATTTATTCTTCTTTATGGCTGAGCAGTATTCCATTGTATAAAAAGACCCCATCTTTTTTTTTTTTTTAAATAGGGGGTTTTCCAGCAGATGCTAGAAAACCTACCAGACAAACTCTAAAAAAGCTGTAACACTAGGATCCTATCTTTTTCATCCATTCCTCAGTATATGGGCATTGAGTTGTTTCCAAGATATAGCTATTAGAAACTAAGCTGCTATAATTATGGGTATATATTGTTGTGGTACAATGTTTTTAATTTTGGGGGGAAGATATCAGGGAAATAGTTGGGTCAAATGGGGCCCCTGATCCCAATTTTTTAAGAAATCTCCACACTAATTTTTTTTTTTTGGTCTTTTTCGTTTTTATCGGTACCAGGGATCGAACTCACGACTGTCTGCTTGCAAGGCAGGCGCTTATGCCGCTGAGCTAAATCCCTAGCCCCTTCCACACTGATTTTCATAGTGGTTCCATCAGTCTACACTCCCACCAACAGTAGAAAAGGCTATATTTGTTCTTGATTATAAATTTCCTTGTAAAATTTTGTAACTGTTATTTGATAACATTCTACAGAAATATGACTTATGAAAAAGTACTAAAACAGTATGTTAAAATACTAATTCTGACCATGATTAACAAAGAGGCAAGAGGCAGCATTCTAGTCATATTTTATATTTGAAAGTGTCTGATGTCCAGGTAGGATTATAGTAATTAAAGATTTCTCTTCTCATTTCAAGACTAACCTTCTAAGTACAACCAACTTTCTAGGTGTTCTGAGGCTTAGAGATCAAAGGTAAGGAAGATAATTGGGCTAAAAGAATAGCCAATATTCTGGCCCTTTCCTTCCAAGCTCAGCCAGGGCCCTGGCCATGACAGATCCCTCTAACGGGGGTCTTACAACTCAAGTGAGTCATCCAACCTCCCAAGCACTGTGACTGCTGGACCCCAGAGGACAGGAGCCAACCAACGTTCATTCTGCAAAAATTAGGCTACTGAAAAGGAAATATGCCCCATATTTCTAAAGGAAGCCATAAGGTCAAGCAAAGATGGTGATCTATCCCGCTACATGACATAACTGGCAAAGAAAAAAACCAGGAGAACTAAAAGGCTCCTCACATCATCCCACAAGTAACACATAAAGAGCCTTAACCAACTGGACAAGTATGTATGGAGAGAGAGGGAGGGAGGGAGGGAGGGAGAGAGAAAAAGAGAGAAAGAAAGAGAGAGAGAGAATAATTTTAAGGTAAGTCTTAACTTTGACTTGGTCTTAAACACCCCCCAGAAAAATATAAACAAAAAACAACAAATATAAATATATATAAGTATATATATATAGCGAGTATGTTAATGTTAAACAAAAAACTAGGCTAGCCTCTGCTGACAGTTTCCAGCTATACCTGTAACGTATACTCATAAAAAAGTTGTGATTTTCAGTCGGACTAGCTATTCCAAAACTGTGTCCCTCAGCCTCTCTTAATACATTCCCATTGTTATTCTAATATACATTTAAGTATCCCTCAAGTAAAGGTTAACCTTCTCATTGTATAGGTGTGCCTATAAAATAAGAACGGAAATACAAATATTCTAGCTATTAAACTATATTATCTTTTTGGCATAAATTATATTACCTAGATTTAGTTACTAAAAGCGTCTTCAGCGCTACAAAAGAGGACAGATAGTTCTTTTTTTGAAACAAGATCTTGCTAAATTGTTCAGGCTGAGTGGGAACACTCACAATGTAGCTCAGGGTGGCCTTAAACTGGCAGCAATTCTCCTGCCTCAGCTTCCTGAGTGCTTGGGTTACAGACATGTCACTATGCCTGGCCAGATATGGCTCTTAAATCCTACAGTAAAAAACTTATAATGGCCCAGTGGTCATATATATAGATATCTTTATTTAAAGTATTTATTTGCCATTGTTATAATTGAAACTGGAGGACATTAAACTTATTAATAAAATGGAGAAATCTCTATGTTCTTAAAGTCCACCTGTTATATTTGGATAAACACCACAAAATACAAGTCCACATTTAAAGAGAAAGGGCTTACATCATAGCTACTGACTTCTATCACTTTTTTTGGTACTGCTATTTATCAGTAGTCTACCTTTACTATCTGAATCCTGCTTTTTCTAATTAACATGGTTATAAAATAAAGCTTAAACACTGATAACTTGCTAATGTTCTTAGACTCTTTTTTAGACTATCAAAGGAGGATAGTTTATCAAATAATAAAACTCATCTTTCTTTTTCTCCTTTAGATAAGTCAGGACGAGACTTTTCATCTGGGGTAGATGTGAACAATGCCTCCTCTCAGCCTGAAGCAGGTAGACCTTGTAAGAAGGTAGACCTTTGGCCCTTCTGCATCTTTTAAAAGATCAAAGTCTGGGGGAAGAGTATGAAGTAGATAGAAGAAACAAAGACAGGTAGAAAGGAGACAAGGAAAATTATAATTTTAAAAATGAAAACTGAAGCTTTAGAATATGAACCAAGTTTAATTTTTTTCTTTTCTCCCAGAATAAGCTTGGGCAATTCCCTTTCACTTGCAAATGGTCCTCTTTCACCTGTGAATAGATATCTTTTCACTGGTGAAATGGACTTTCTTCTATGAAACGGACTATTATATTTTTGTGGGTGGGCCATCCTCTCAACTCCCAAACCAAAAAGAAAACTACAGTCTGACAAATTCTATAGAATTCCACTGCTAAAAACATAAGTATTCCCAGCTCCCAGATACAGAATACCTCTCTTCTGAAGGCCTAGATTCTTGTTTGAGTGTGTACTTTCAATTTTTGTCTAATAAATCCCTTCATGTCTCTTAAAAAAGATTATAGATATGGCCTTTGCAGTTTTTCAAAAAGTGTTTTTTATCTTCTCTTTTGGAGCCAAATTCAGGGTAATTTCT